CACACACACACCACCACATCCTCAACTGTAACCCATGGACTGTCAGACTAATGTCACTTGAAGTCTATTTTGATATTCCTACTTCTACCCTAGCTCTCTTTCTCTGCTTTAATTTCATAAATTGGAGGGATCAACTCACAAGATTAAGTACTTGTAAAATATGTTTTAATGCTGTTAACCTGTTCAAGCCGTAATTATGTAAAAATACACTCATGGCTTCCTTAGGCTCGGTGGGTGTGGTATCGTCAAGAGAAAGGACAAATAAGGCGGAGTTTATTTTCTCTAATTGAAGAGCATTCTGCGAGTCGGATACAAGGAGTTGTCTGGCTTCGGCCCAATCGGTTCTATCTAATGACGGCAGTAGAGAGAGAGGGTGGGAGGGGCTGGGGGTGGAGTCTTGTAAAATGGCCTCCAATTGAGCATGTATATCAGTAATGAGTAGAGGGGAGCCTGAGAGAGAGAGGGGGGAGGAGAAAGTGACAAAATAACTAATAAACTACTGTACAATACAGTAGCTCTGAGATACACAACCACATGTATCTAGTATTAATAGCTGTAACATAAGCTACATGGATATACTGTACATCTGTATAACGTTAATGATTATTACCATCAGATTGTATCACTTCCATTTCATAAAAATGATTATTCCTCATGATAATGACATGTCTACTATCGCTGGTTGTAACCAGTTCATCTCTTTCCTTATAGGGCAATCGAGTGGTACCAAAGAGTTTCTTATACTGGACCATGTCCAAGGGGAAAGCATTGATCATGTAAGCGCCATACCATGAGAAGGACTGGGGAATAAACCTTTAAAAAAATAATAATCATAATAATATTATTATTATTATTATTATTATTATTATTATATAAGCATGCATTCAAAATAGAAAATACAATAGATAATAGAGTGGTGCCTCTATATAATGGACACTGTGTCTCTGTTATACAGAGGTGTCCCTTTATGTGGAGGTTATTTTATACAGTAAGGAATGTAATTGGTACACTAGGTGCTGTCTGTTAAATGGAGGTGTACGCTATAGAGAGTGTCCATTAAGAGAGGCTATACTGGTGCATTATCAATATGTTAGTTATTGTTTATTTTATAATGATTAATAATAATAATAGAATTTCTATAAGAATGCTAAAATAAATATTATGTCTACACTCTACAGTAATAATACAATATTATAATACTGAATATAAACCAAAAGCATATTAACACACACACACACTTTACCTTAAGAGGTTAAACCAGCTTTTGTCACTTTTCTCCGGATTAAGATGAAACACTTCTGGACGAAGGACACCATCGGAAAGAGAATTGCGAAAACGAACAGCAGCAAATACAATCTGTGCAGCACGATCAGCCTATGTACATGACTGGGTTTAAAGTTGCTCCAAAATCGGGTCAAAGTCCCTGTACTTAGTACATGGTCTCAGGCCAAATTTTGTTAAAAATTAAAAGGAGAGAATTCTCCATTTTTATAACTTTCCCTGATACGTATACATGTTCTTATGTTGCGTAGAAAGTTTGAGTCAATTCCGATCAAATTAGAATTTTTACGAATTTTTAAAGTTGCTCCAAAATCGGGTAAAAGTCACTGTACTATAGTACAGGGACTTTGGCCAAATTTCGCCAAAAATGAAAAGGAGAGAATTCTGCATTTTTATATTATTTTCTGATACATATACATGTTCTTATGTTGTGTAGAAAGTTTGAGCTGATTCCGATCAAATTAGAATTTTTTACAAATTTTTAAAGTCGCTCAAAATTAAATACCAGCACACATTGTACATTCCAAGAGCACGCTATTAAAACTGACCTGTGACGGGTTCCTGGGGTCATCGTTAAAAGTTAAAAAAGGATTATGATTGAGTACTATAGAGCGACGATCCTTCAAATACATGTCATACCAAAAATCTATTAATTAGAAAGGAGGAGTGGTCAAACGCCCACTCGTTTAATTAATAAAAATACCTGCAATGAAGCTACTGTCTTTATTCATCTTGTCACGCTCCATTAATCTCTTCTGAAGTTCTTTTAACAAAAACAACAAGTGAACTTATACCATATTTACTCAAAATATGTACATGTACATGTATCATGTTTCAGTTTCACATACCATATATGGAAAAAATATGGATGTAAACAAAATTAATTTTATTTTGGGGCTCACCTGATCCATCTGAGCCTTCCTTTGAGAAGTCCTTTGCTAATTTTTGTGTCGTCTGAAATTCCGACTCACTGACCAGTGGCTGTACAGCTGAGAGGTAGCGACTGCAGCTATCGGCCAACTCTGGTATGGGGAGTCTGGGGAGACTGGCCTGGAAATGAAGAGTAGGTATCTTGCTCTCTTGAATGTAGTAGTCATCTCCTTTCCTCTTTTGTCTGATAGAGCTACCACAGAAGATACATCATTAATAATAATAACAGTGGATTGCTGTTAGGCTCATCTACCTCATGCTCAAGGCCCTGGGGGTAGTACAGCATCTTGATAAAGTGAGCAGTCTAACCTAGTCATAAAATAATAATAATAAAGATTACAAAGGAATATCTCGAGGTGTGAAGAGACCTTTCTAAACGCCATCTTGCTAATAAAAAATTAATAATAATGATTTTTAATAATTAATAAAATCATGAATATTTAATAAGAAGAGTAAAATCATTTTAATTTTTTTTTCTTTTTTTAGTTTCCACATTGTCCTTGGTGGTCATCTCAGTAAGGAGCTTACGACAAAGAAACAGAGCACGTGGGACATGGAAGCAGCCTAGAACAATGACAGATGATACACAATGAATGATGATCCCACATTCAGTGTAATAATTATGCAGCTGGGTTGATATATGGACATGCTATAATTATGTTTGTTCTCATGTTTGTCCTAGTGTTTTACCTTTAAAAGGTCCTCCTTTGAAGTCCTGATTAACTTTTCCTTCTCTGTTCAGGTAGCCATACCACTCACCAAACATTTTTTCAGGAAACTACAATAAAAAGGAAACCATTATATATACTTCTAATGGGTACAGTTTAAATTAGTTCTTGCAGCATCATGTTCCGGCCTTCTTTTAAAATTAAACAACTATTGTTTGTGTGTGTGTGTGTGTGCAGATCTTACATGAGAGCAAACGTAGTCAAAAGTTGCTTTAAAGGAGTCCCAGTAGAAGTCATCACTTGTTACTTTGTATGCCATCAAATAAGCAATCAATGCTTCGCAGTGCACCCACCAAAGCTTCATGTTCCATTCCAATTGGGTAGGAAACCAATTTATACCACAATCGAGATAGTAAAAGAATCCTCCATGTTCCTTGTCCCAGCCATATTCTGAGGGTCTCTTTATGAATTGCCTGATGGCTTTATCTTGAAGTTCAACATCACCTCTGTAAACATTAGGAGTAACAACGTAAAGTGATTTATAAATGAAGTCTTTAAAATCTACTGAACATGAAATGGGACAACATGAAGTGGAGGATGCTCACTTTGTGAGTGCTTCCTGTAGCAGAAACCAACCTGCCTCTATAGCATGACCAGGTATTGACAATCTTCCTTGACAGCCTTCGGGAAACCCACCGCTTTCTAAAGCATACTCATGTATCCATCTTCCATCATCCTGCAAAAGATAATAAATGTATCATACTTTTCTTTCACAATTTTAAAGACTAAGAGTCTGTTAATCATTATTATTGTTATTACATGTTTGAGAATTGCTTCAACGCTCCACTTGAACTGCTCGGAATATTTCTCTCTTTTCTCGGCCTCGTTGCCACAAAACTCAGTCAATATATTCAACAACATCATAGGATATCCTAACTGTCTAGTGGGCAGAGCACCAGACAATGCTGGCATTCCAAGGCCACTGTCGTCAACACAAATCCAGTGTATTAGCTGCTGGAGCATCTCTTCTGCAGCAACCTGATGATAAAGCAAATAATTAATGCTTGTATTCAAATGGAATTAAGGGATTATGACAATTTGTCATTATTATTCTGTTCCTTATAAACTATAACATCAAAGTTTCCCCACTTTTATGAATGCTACAAATCTTTTTATAATGCACAATTTAAAAGTTCACAGTAGCACAATTCTATACCTCATATTTGATGTTTGATGTTGCCCTGTACAGTTCAATGAGTCCAATAGTATAGAAACATTCAGTGTAAGGTTTACGCTGGAGCTTAACTGGTTTACCGTCTTCAGTGACAATAAAATAACACCTGAGCTCATCTTTAACTTTTACATATTTCAACAGAAACTCTCCACCTATAAAAATAATAACAAAAAAGCAATCAAAAGTATCGTTTAATTCCATTATTTTACAGAGCTGAATTTTTATTAATATTACTGTTAAATTACCTTGAATGGCTGCATCAAGTATATCATGATTGTGATATTCCTTTGTTTCATTGTAGAGTTTAGCCAGCATCCAAACCTGCAGGGACATGAGGTAAGAGCTACAGGTCTTAAGGAACTATTGCAACATAACAGCAAGAATGATAACAGCTTTACAAGACTGAAGATTGCAATCACATAAAGCAGTCTACAAGAAAGGGGTGGGACTGGCATACAAGACCAATGTTAAAGGTACTAGGAACAGGCCTACCTGTCTCCCTTGAAGCCAGCAATACTTTAAAGTGTCATAAACTTCTCCTCTGTAGCTGAGGCAGGTGTAGTATCCACTGCAATAGAAAGGTGTGGCTCAAACAGTGTTAGAGCATGCTTGCTGTTTCATTTACCCGTTCTTATTATCAATTGAGTTGCTCATCCAAAACTTAATGTTGTCTTTTAGTTGAGAATCAAACCATTCAAGAGCTTCAGCTAAATCCGACTGCGAAGCCATCTTTACTGTATAAAATCCCACCTTAAATAGGCTTTGATTAAAGGGGTTTCCTCAAGCTAGTGACATTGGTAAAACAGTAAAATCGTCATTAAAATAATGAAATCAATATAGTAATTATTCAGCATATAATAATAATAATAATAATAATAGTATAACATGAGAATTAAATATAACAATAATCAATAAATAGTGTGCCCTAATACTGAAATCAAGTTGTTCCTCTTTCCACCATCAGTGCTTCAATTTCATGCAACGACTCCTTGAGGGTAGCTACTTCATCAAATCTCTTTGCCTGCTCAGCTTGTGCAATATAACCCAGCAGCTGCTGTCTCTGGAGCTCAAATGGATCAAGCTCTCCATCGTCAAGGCATTCTGTCACGGCTGCTTCAGCAGTCCAACCACGATTACTAGTGCTGGAGGTTTCGCCCGATTCTTTGATACCAAAAACAGCTTTAGCCTTTCGCTTGAAGGATGGGGAGATCCGTACTTTACTATCAATAGCTGAGAATGATATATCTAATCGTGAAGATGAGCTGTTCTCTTTCTTCATTCCGCTAGATGGTAATTGTAAAGTGTTTGGTTCTTTCTTGCTTCCAAAGAAGGCCCCACTGTCTCTTTTATTGGCTGCAGCAGCAGCTGCAATCTCAAGCTCTCTTTTCTCTTCTTTCTCCTTCAAGAGTCGAAGCTTCTTCTCTTCTATTTCTCTTTCTTTCTCTCTCCTCAAATCTTTTAGTTTTTCTACAGTAGGTAGGCCAGGCAACATGAGGAGGTTATCTTGCAAGTAACTGCTAGCAAAGAGACGAATGTTCCTCTGGACTTTGAGACACGAAGGACTTGGCTCTCCGCCATCATCATACTTGAGATTCATAATACGTTTACTAAAAAAACACAGACACATCAGAATAATGATTAAAAATTAAATGGAACAAAGTTCTGCTCACCTAAGTGCATCCACTACCTCATAAAGTTTTACTAAATCTTGCCTGACATTTTGAGCATCCATCAGTCTGAAGTGATACTCCCCACTCCTGCAATGGAAGAAGATTTGTTTACACATTTAACACATAAGTTGTGCCGTGGCCTAAACTGTGTTAACCTATGCATTTATGAGTGAAAATATATTCCATACTTACAATAAGCTGTCGGCCATTTCTAGATACTTTGGTTTCAGTTTCTCTGCATTAGTCATTGTCACTTGCATCTTCTCGTAAAGTCCAACCACTTCAGTTCTACCTTCCGATGACATCCTGGCTAACTGTCTGACTAGCAACTCCTCACAAGATGGACACACTCTCAGCTCATCTGAAGTGTCCTCATCTTCATCATCCTCATCTTTCAGGAAACGTTTCAATTTATTTTTCTTTTGTTTGCTAGCAGTGGCAGCTGGATCAGGAAGGAGAGACCTGTAGTTGGGATTATCGGACATCAGTTGATCTATAGTGAAAGAAGCAATTGTAAAATGGGGACTCTAATAACAGCTTTGAATGACAGAATAATTCAATTTCAGTTTGTTTTCATAGTTCTCCCCTTCTTCTCCCCCCCTCTCTCTTCTCTACTAACATGCTTCAGAAAAAGGAAAGAAATTTGAACACTTTTTACATATGACATCTCCACAGAGTCTGCAGTGATGCTTCCTTCGGTGAATGTTAAACTCACGACTGCATTTCATGCAGCGCTTGCTCTCTGAGTCTTTCTTCCAAGGTACAATGTCCTGCTCCAGAGCTGAAAGGAAACAGAGCATGAGAAAAGAAAAGAAAGAGGGAGATTATAATGAAGCTTGGATTATAAATGATGTAATACATAAGGTCATAGTCTATGTGATTTGTGTCAGTAAACATTTAATTCTGTACCTTTAAGCTGCTTCTGTTTCATAGCGTGCTCATTCTTCAGAAGTCTTAGTAGCTACAGAGACAATATGGAGATCATTTATTTACAAGATAGCAAGTGATTGATTTGATGTATGCATCTAGTTATTGAGCAACACACTACATAAACTTTTCTCTCCTTTTGTCCTCTCTTTAGCCCATGACCAAACCAAGACATGCTTACCTTTTCAAGTCTGACCAGAAGTCGATTGGTTTCCACGGCGATACGTTGAACGCGTGAGTCCCTTACTTTACGAAACGCGTCCAAATGATCTCTATATTTACCTACAGTACATGCACACAAGAAAACATGATGCCTGTAGCAAGCAGCAAACACCATTAGGTTGTGTTTTATGTCTAATTATCATCAAACATACCAAATTCTTGTTCAGGCCAGAGTGAAGTGTTGATTCCTGATACTCCAATTATCGACTGAAACCCCTCCTCCTCCCCCTCTCTCCTCACTCCTACTGCAGCTGCTCCTTCACTAACGACAGACTCCTCTAGCCCGCCCTAACAATAAAATGAAGAGTAATACAGTAAAGAACTGCTCTATGAACTCTGTGAGTTGGGGCATGCAGGATGATCCTTGAATTTTAGTTTCATTTATAAGATATCGTCAACCTACCCTTTGCTTGGTGAGTGTTGTCTTTGCTTTCCCAATAAACTGCTTGAAATTTGCTTTCATTTTACCAGTAGCAGTGTCATTGTGCTCTTCCCTAACGTGTCTTTCCAGTTGACTAACGCCAGGCAGAGCCTAAGGGAACCAGTGGTCGTTATAATAATGACCTCATAGAGTAACCTGCATGCACAGGGGGCAGATGAATCCTTCAAGCTGAGCCATTTCTTTGATTTTCTCTCGTTTTCTCTCTTCCTCTGAGGTTTAGGTTTTCATTCGGGGAAGAGCCACGCCCTAAACAGGACCACACCCAAAAGTTCTAATATACGGAGACTTTCCGTAATTTTTGTTTATTTTGTAGTGGAAATAATTTACGGGAATAGACGGACTCAAGCGGATTTGAACTATAATAACCATGGTAACTGGATGGCGAGAGAAAGAAACCTAACTAATAGTTCGTCCCAGGAGGTAGCGCTTCATGAAGGGATGCAGTCTCTCGTCTCACTCGAGGGCTATAGCCCAGAGCTCAGGAAATATTTGGAGGGTCATAAATGGCCTTCTGTAATGGAGGTATGGCTGGGAACTATACTGGGGATGCATTTTTGGCTACTAGAGAGAATTCTATTATATTTCCTGATGCATATACATGTTTTTATGTTGCATAGCAAGTTTGAGCTGGTTCTGATTAAATTTGGATTTTTTATGAATTTTTAAAGTTGCTCCAAAATTGGGCCAAAGTCCCTGTACTATAGTACAGGGATTTCAACCAAATTTTGCCAATATTAGTAACGCGGTAGCGTTACTAAGTAGGATTCACCCCCAAACAAAATGGCTGCCACGACTTTTGCAGCCTTAGTACAGGGATTTCAACCAAATTTTGCCAATAATGAAAAGGAGATAATTTTCCATTTTTATAATATTTTCTCATGCATATACATGTTCTTATGTTGCATAGAAAGTTTGAGCTGATTCCGATTAAATTTGGATTTTTTATGAATTTTTAAAGTTGCTCTATAATCAATTTAAAGCTCGTACAGGGACTAACCCCAAGGCCTATACACTATGCAATCCTTAACTATTCTCCACAGGCTTTATTCAGTGGTTTAGCTGTCATGGTACCGAGAGATCCCTGGGTATTTATAGAAAATAAGCTACAAGAGGTTCACAGCAGTCAGACATCATACCCCACTGACATTGAATGGTAACCACACAGACAGAATACATCATGATCTTTAGAGTACACTGTATCGGTGTAGGGATTGCTTCATTGATCCTGACCTAAAGCCAGTGAGGTCTTTCTTTCAAGGCATTAGAGATCCTTATATGGACGACACTGACCTCCCCTCTGAGTCCTTGCTTGAAGTTGCTTTTGATTTTCGTCGTAGGAAACTATATGGACTTTGTTTCTAGTGAGTCCCTTAACCACAAACTCTCACTTTATAATACACTCACTGTTGTTATGGATTATATATCACATATCAATAGTTCTACTGGGATTCTATTCTTTTATTTCTCTTTTTGAAGTGGCTGGATTAGGTTTCACGAGCTCATTAAGTTTGAGAGAGCAGAAGAAAAGCGTAAGACTTCCTTTGCTGAAGGACACCACAGGAGCAGATTAAAAAGGATTATACTCACTAAATGGCATATATCCTTCAATAATACATGATACAGTACAGTCTTAGTGCAATGTACAGTAAAACACTATAGCAGCAAAGGCAGCAGCTTTCATAAAGCATCATGAATTTAACAAAAGGCAATGTCAATGTAGATTAGCAAGTCATTATTATTAGTATGTGCTCTTAATGAACTATTACTACAGTTATGCTCCTTAACAAAGGCCACACAAGTATGCTGTATTGAAGAGCCACAGGAGAGAGAAAGCAATGGCTGTCATGAACAATGTCTTCCAGTTTCATGCAAAGAAGCGTATCTTCAAGGCATGGCTCACCGACACTGTGGAGTCACGCAAAGCTAACCTCTTCTTTCAAAACCGTGGTCGAACAGAAGGCGAGGGAGAAGAAGAGGATTGGTTCTATCCTGATGGTCAAGACCCCATCTCACTGCTACCTCTTGATATTGCAATAAAGGTACACGTAGGATCAATGACAGTAGTACTAATACTGGTTATTTTTTTATTAGATATTCTCATACTTGGGAGTCCCCAGTGTGTGTAGGTGTGCCCAAGTCTGTAGAGCCTGGAAGGACATGTCTGAAGACGCAAGACTCTGGAATAAGGTACACCGTATATGTACTTGCTGCCAGTTGCTGGGTATTTGAAGCATTGATTTGATATGTACATGTACATCCACACATTGAAAAATGTAGATATACATGTAACTTTACTTATAATAATGATCATGTATTTATATGTAGGTAGATCTATCCCCGATTGGACATTAGTAAGAAATAAGTATTATATTCTATTGCATTTAAGCTCATATTCTTATTAGCCTAACTGACTCCTCCCTTCTTCAATTATTTAATAAATGGAGACCGTTCCTGGGTCATCTCTCACTTCAGAAGTGTGTCCTTCTCACCTCAGATAGTTTCAAGTATATCGGCCAGTGTCAGAACCTGCAGGATCTCAATCTGTCCGAGTGTCAAGGAATTACGGTACCCAAAAAGAGAAGAATGCTCCTTCTATTTTCCATTATATTAAAACTGCACAGGATGAAGCCATCAAAAGCATTGCTATCAGCTGTAGTGGACTCTTTTATTTGAACCTGTCATACTGCTATGTTACTGACTCCATCATTAGACTACTAACAAAGTGAGCTATTGTACAGCTACTAAGATTAATACTGCTACTAAGATTAATACTACAATTAAGATTAATACTACTACTAAGATTAATACTACAATTAAGATTAGTACCGGTATTAGGAATATACTGGAATATTTGCATGAATGTCTATTGTATACATGTACAGGTACTGTAGGAGTCTGAACTATCTCAGTTTATCAAACTGTACCCAATTCACTGGCAAAGGGCTCCAGTCCATATTGGCAGGTGAAGGATGCCGTAAGCTGGTCTACCTTGATCTCTCAGCTTGTGTACAGGTCTGACATTAATCATGTATGTAGTATGTACATGTGCTAATGTCAGTAGAAAATGATGCTTTACATTCATTCAATGGTGTGCACTAATCACTCTCTCTCTTCTTATGCTTGTAGTTATCAACTGAGGCACTCCTCTTCATTGGTCAGGGGTGTCCAATCCTTCACACACTCACTCTTGATGACATCACTGACCTGGTGGATGAATCAATCATAGTCAGTCACCATTAAATAGGCTATGTCCTTATCTTTATTATTATTATTATTATTATTATTATTATTATTATTATTATTATTATTATTATTATTATTATTATTATTATTATTATACATGTACATTGTGTGTATTATAGAACTTTGTGACTCATTGTCACACACTCCGTCACTTTTCGCTTCTTGGGAGTTCCTCTCTCACTGATAGAGCATTCAAGCACTTGGCACTTGAGAATAGGAAGTTGAAGACATTCAAAGTGGAAAGTAACCTAATTCATTAACCTTACATCCATTATTGTACTCACATATTGCTTTGTTTGATTCATTGCAGATAATGATCACATAAGTGACCTGTCTCTCAGGGCACTAGCGAAATCCTGTCGTGATTTACAAGTGGTTTATCTAGCTGGTTGTACTAAGATCTCTGATCAGGGCCTTAAATCACTGGGACATCTTAAGAAAATACACTCACTTAATCTTGCAGATTGCTCAAGGTGATCAATAATGCTAGTTAAAACACTCATCATTATTTAGAAAGTATAATACATTTATTTTTGTGATTATTATTATGTAGAGTATCAGATGCTGGGGTGAGGTATATAGTTGAACACAACAGTGGCCCTGTACTACGTGAACTAAACCTGACAAACTGTGCAAAGATATCTGATGTGACACCATTACGAATAGCGCAGCAGTGAGCCACACTATCTAATGCATGCAGAAGTCATTTACATATTCTCTATCTTTATTATGTAATCTGCCGTTTTTAGTTGTCGTAATTTGATGTATTTAAATCTTTCATTTTGTGAGCACATATCAGATACAGGTGTGGAGCTATTGACACAGTTATCAAATCTTGTTGATCTTGATGTCACTGGATGCAGTCTCACTGATCTGGTAAGACCACAGTACAATACAATAGACCCTCTCACTCTTATCACATACACAGGGAGTCATAGCTCTTGGTCAAAATAAGAAACTGATGCATCTTGGCTTGTCTGAAGTTGATGTTACAGATGATGCTATTATTGTTAGTCCATTCTATTGATACTCAGTAATTGCTTACTTTTTAAATAATAGAAAATGGCAAAAGGATTGAATAACCTACAGATAATTAATTTAAGCTGTTGTGAAGTAAAGCATTTCATTCTTAATCCACCATTGGTTGTGTTCATTCTCTTGTTCTTTTTCTCCTACTATTAATAACACAGGCATTAACTGATGCTTGTGTCCAAGCCTTGGCCTTCAACTGTCAGCTACTTATTAAAGTGTACCTAGCAGCATGTCCTCATCTTGGTGACAGTACAGCCAAATATCTTGCACAAGGCTGCACTTGGGTACAGCACATTGATCTCTCTGGGACTAGCATCACGTAAAGGACTACTCTATTTATGCCATCATTAGTTGAGAGTGTGTTCTTTTTGTTGTATGCAGTGACCAGGCTCTGAGACACTTGGGAAAATCCTGTCATCATCTCACACAATTGGACATTCTCTCTTGTGTCCATGTTACCAAGTGAGAGTTTGTACTAAAATCCTTTTACTATTATAAAAGATACTCTAAAGCCTGGTTTCCATATACAGTAGTTGTGGCTGTTGTATGGATTCTGCATACAACTGTTGTAGAGATAGACCTGGGTTCTATAACTCCATGATTGTTGCAACAGTGTTGTAAGGCTGTTGTAGGGGCTATATGGAAACCAGGCTTAAAGGGCACTAACTACCATAGAACAACAATTATTACTGATTTATTTTGCAGGGAAGCTGTTGTGAAGCTGCAGAAGATCTGTCCCTCAGTTAATTACAACACTGATCCTCCTCAGTATAATATGCCAGCAAGAGAGGATATGCCTGAGCTACCAATGGAATCACTACTCAACCGCTTGTGAAGAGCACCACTGGATGTGTCTTTTAACCCATTGCACCATTACATGTACATGTATGTACCAGTATGTATCATTCAGTATCTTAATAGAGAATGTTAACAATAAGCATTCAATGTAAATTAGCAAAAATAGCAACTATAAGTTTAGTATCAAAACTTTTTAATTTATTCTCTAGTTTTGACCTGAAAGTCAATTTCGTGACCAGGAGATGTTGCTATACCATATTTCTTTGTCAGGTTTGTATCTTTAGTTGAGAACTCAAAGCGCTGGAGGAGTATAACGACATAAATGGAAGACATTATGTATGTGAAGTGGTTTGCAGGACAGCGGCGGAGAGTAGAGACACCAAACGGTCGAAACTCGTGACCTCTTTTAGCATGCTTACTTCTGGGACCAAAACGATCAGAATCAAACTTCTGAGGATTGTCCCACACATTTGGATCATGCATTGCCACACCTAATGATTGAATGATGGGAGTATTAGCTGGTATATGATAACCATCCACAACCACATCTTTGTCTGGACAGTGAGCAGAGAAAGATGTCACTGTGCTCACACGAATTGCTTCATCAAGAAACTGCCTCAAGTAAGAATTGGAACTCATGACATACTCTTTCAGCTTCTCACCACTGGCTTCTTTTCCAACGATTTCTTTCATTATCTTGTCCTGGATTTCAGGATGTAGTGCAAGGTAATAAAATGTCCATGTCAAAAAGTAGCCAGAGGTGTGGAAACCACCCATGAATGTGATCACATTTGACATTATTGTCTCCTCAGGGTCACCAGAATTAAGGAGTGCATCCATCAGTGGCAGTGACTTCCTCCCACTTTGCAAGTTTGACCGACGAGCCTTCATCATTTGCTTCAGGTATCCTTGCAAAACCTTGAGGTTTGACTGAAAGTCCTTTTCTCTCTGACTTTGAGGCGGAGGGACATCTAGAACACGTTTGTCCATTTCACATTTGCAAACATGATATAGAGCAGCAAGCTCATCTATGCCTTCATCATTCTCAAATATATTTCCAAGAGATGTCATAAGGATTGCTTTAAGTGTCATTCTTGTAATGCTCTTTAAAAGGTGTATTGGTTCACCAGAGGCCCACGTCTTTGCTGTCTCATGAGCAATCACAACTAAATCAGGAACAAAGGATTCCAAAAAATCACCTCTCATTGTACCACGAAGCATTTTCCCTTGTCTCTTCCATTCATCACCATTGACACTCTGAATGCTGTTGGAACCATGAAGAGGATCAAAGCAAGGCGCAAATATGACAGCAGGCCTATTATAGATATTCTCTGTGTCCTTGAATGATTTTTGACTGCAAATGCTGACAACACGTTTGTTTCTCCACCAAAAAGATACAACTGGGGAGCTTCCTTCTTTGTGCTGCTTGGCAAGATAGTGATGAAGACTACCGGCACTCATGGCCACTGCAAGATCACCTAGCACTGGGTCGGAAGGTTCTTTATTCCAACCTGGGATCAGTTTAGTAGCGGACCTCTTACTGTTTAACCTTATCCAGAAGAAATAGAAAAGAATGGACAAGAGTCCAACGCAGGCATAAAATGCATACATGTCCATCTTCTTGGCTCGCCCATAAAAGTTATTGCTCTAAAGAATCAATATAAGAGCCAATATAAGTGCCACCATTTATGGGTGTCACTAGTAGTGACCTTTGGATGATGCAAAAATTGGTTTACACTTCCTGTGCTAACTCTACCAAGATGATTATGATTATCATGATAAAGAAATAAATAATTTTAGCTATAACAAATCTTCACTTTCAAAATTTGTTTTGTCAACCTGATGATTATTATTGTTAGAGTCACTTTCTTTTTCATTCATTTCACTTTCATCATTAACTATCCTTACAATACCACCAGATACATTCTCCTCCTCAAAATGATCATCTTGAAGTTTATAGTATTTCTTGACCTTGCACTTGTGAGTTATGATAAAGAGAGCAATAAACACGCAGCAGCAAGATGCAACGTCTGCTAGAGTGAAGTAGCACAATGATACAGGGCCCACTTTATCAATGAGGACACCCACCACTACAGGCAATGCTGTATCTCCAATGGTTGCACCTGCTGCTAATATTGAAGATGTCTTGCCAGATGCAGGGCCATGCCGGGTAAGAAATACAACAATATTTGGATACAGCGAGGCATAGCTGGCCCCCATGACTCCACTACCTATCCAGACAGCTAGCTCGTTACTGTGGAATATTGTTACAATAAGTGATGCAATCAAACTACCGGTTAAGTTTCCAGCTAATAGAAGTGAAGGTGAGAGTTTGCAAAGTGATAAAATAATTGTGAAGCAGCGAAAGAACGCAAAAGTTCCCCAGAAGAGAGATGACAAAATGGTTGCTTTCTCTTTGCTAAATTGCAAGTCTCCTTTGACAGCAAATGCAAATATGTATGTCCCATACGCCACTTCAGCTGCAACATACAAGAGTATTAAGATGAAAAGTAGGATCATTAAAACAGTCTTGTAAAGCATTGTATCAGGATAAGTCTTTGGCTGGTTGTCATCAACACTTTTCTCTTCCTCCTTTGAGTCTTCTCTCTTCTTTCTACAGCAGCACTGCCACTTAACTGCAAATACTATCAATGGCGGCAATGACAATAGCAAAGGAATGCTAGCAACCCAGTAAGCATAAATGAAACTTGTACTATAATCACTGGGAACGCAGTCTGAAGATACTGAATGGAACAATGACCTTGTGGGCTGAGAAGAGGAGCAATTGGTTCCTCCTGTGCAAGTGAAATCAGTGATATTGGTATCATCACCGCACGTGTCATTGCTATTGGTATCTTGACTGATTGATGATATGAAAGGTCTTGCGATTAGCGGAGCAATGAAAGCCCCAACTGCAAAAGTGAAGTGAATGAGTTGAAAGATGGGGCCAGAGTCTTTGTTCTTCCACAGCCTTATAAGGAATGCATGCACACCTATGAATAATGAATGTAATAATAATATATTAATAGTTTTGCATTACCAGTATCCAAACTGCTCAACAATCCACCTTGAATGAACATAGCAACACCAAAAAATGGAAGCTGTCTACTCAATGGCAGTATAACTGTTACTAAAAAGAATAAAATTTTGCAGCAATCTTAGTAAATTTTTGAATAGTCAGAAATTGTGCAGTATTCTATTAAAAAAAGTCCCCACTTACATATTGCTGCTGATGATATGCAAAAGATAAGCATCCAGAGAGACACTTTGTGAAACTTATCAAAGATTATACCAGAAGAAACTGATCCAACTACACTACCAACTGATCTCACTAGGAGCATAGCAGCAATCTCAGACAAGCTGACACCCATGTATGCAGCAATATCAAGCATAGTAGGACTCACTATAACCAGGCCTGTACCCTAATGAAGTATATTCATAATAATCAAAATTTTTTAAAAAGGAATTATTTTGTCTAAACTTACCAATCCAATGAATGAAAGTGCACACCAGATGCTGACCCAGATGTCACTTCTCCTCCAGTTTCTCCTCAAGCTCCCAATGCAATCCTTTATTAAAGTTTTGGATATTTTTTGCTTCATTGTTGCAGCCACCATTTTAGCCCCACCTATCCTAAAAATTTTAACCCTTCAAGAAATTTTATTTTTAACCCTTTTAGTGCGCATGCGCAGGTTGGTCGCCATTTTTTCATTTTCCCAAACTTCAAAGCTTACTAGGAAATCTGTCTTGTCTTCGTCTTTTTCTAACTTTCCTCTCTTTCTGTCATGAGTCTCACTAGTAGTATATCCCTGGTTGGGGGGCCTGCTACCAGTAGCACCTCTGGAAAGCAAGACCGTGTCAAGGTAGCCATTGAACCTGACCCTGCCAACAAGATGAACGTACAGCCAATACTGAGAGACTTCGAACACTCCATTCCTCTCTCCAGCATATTAAAAGAAGTCGCCTCGAGGTGGAACATAGAGAGACCGGAGACCCTCAGTTTCAAGTACTCCAAGGACTCCAAAGGGAAGTTTGGCTACGTTACTGAAGACAACAGACAAGAGCTTAAAAATGGCGACATATTGTGCATTGCACTCTCTCCATCTTATCAAGCAAAAGAAACTTACGATAAAGTCAATTCCGGTGACCCTCAGATAAAGATGAAAGGGATTGAGGAGCTACTCTCTCTCTCCCGTGACTCAACCTTTGCCGTTGAGTTCATATCAATGAACAACGGGACCGGGATACAGACGCTACTGGTAATGACAGAGAAAAGCCAGCTCTCACCCGGGGCTGATAAATCCCCACCTCTTGCCGATAAGAGTAACCTTAGCAACGTACTGGGAGCCTTCCAGGAGCTGATGGAGCATGGGATAGTCTCCTGGGATACCGTGGGAGACAACTTTGTCAAGAAAGTCGTCAATATCCTTGACCGATCGCGGGACAGGGATTACTTCCGTCCGTCCATCGTCCACCGTTGTATGGGTATACTGGAGTCCATTGTCATGAACAGTAGTCTCCATTATCATATCGTTACCCAAGAGGTCAACCCGCAGAGTCTCTTGGAGTACATACGAAAGGACTCGCCAGAAGTGACGCATTATACCTTGGTTCTAATTAATGCCCTTCTCGCTAAGGCTGACAATCAACGAGAGTTATTGAGACAACTCTCAGAGCAGAACTTCAGTCGCATTATTCACGATAACATTCTCCAACGAGGCCCAGTCGATCGGGATATAGCTCACCAGCTGTCCATCTACCAGTCCTTCATTTTGAATCAAGTGGAGGGGAGGATGAGAACCAGTTTCAGGGACGGAGACTCAACCATGGAGACTTTGCTGAAGCAGCTGCCTCATCGTGCCTTCAGTGATGAGTATCGGTCTAAGGGAAGTATTGCAGAGCAGCACTGGAAGCAGCTGGGTTTCTCACAGGCTAACCCACGTGATGATTTCCGGGAGACCCCGCCTGGACTACTAGCACTGGACTGCATGGAGTATTTAGCAAGAACCAAACACGACGTCTACACTCGCCTTCTCTTTGCACAAATGGATAACCCTTGTCCCTTTGCTAAGACGAGTGTAGCTCTTACTAAAGTTCTCTGCTCAATATTTCGTATTGGTGAACAACCAGCAGACATAAGCTACAACGTAACTGAGTTCATTCCTCTCCTGATACTTAATGAGGAGCCTTTCAAAGAGATATACTGTATCACCATTCAGCTGCTGTTTAAAACCTGGAGAGAGATGAGGGCTGGTATACTTGACCTTGAGAAGGTTACTGCTGTTGTTACGAAACAGATCACAACAGTAATTCAGTCTCAAGATGCTAGTACTCTCACGTCATCTGATACATTCCGCAATCGCTTGTTTGAACTGAGTTACAAGAAGATCACAGAGTCTGAAGAACACACGCAGTTACTTGACGAAAGTGTTCTAAAGAGTCGACCTGTCCAAGACCTCAAGAAGAAGATCACTCCAGAGATCAACGAATTAGTCAAACGCGAGAGGCTCAATCATCTCGTCCACGGGAGCGCTTTCCCTAAAGTCGGAGCCAAAAGACGGGATCAGTATTTCTATTGTCGTTTGCATCCTAACCACAAGGTGATTCATTTCGGTGATGCAGCTGGTCATGGACAGACTGCCCCACCACTGGAGAGTCTTGACAACAAGATACAAGTCTCAGAGATGAGGCTGGTCATAGGTAACGAGTGCCCTCACGCTGAGAGACTCCGGAAAGGATCAAACATGATATTCTCCATTTTCTACAACAGTAATGAGCATCTTGACTTCTGTGCCCCCACAGAGACAGTTCATAACATTTGGGTGGATGGTCTTTCTGTCTTACTAGATAAAGACATGCCCAGTAAGGCTGCAGAAGAGGATCTGGAGACGCTGGTCAATATGGATCTTAAATTACGATTGTTGGATTTGGAGAATATCTCCATTCCAAGTCAGCCTCCAGTCAAACCTGCTGATCCTCCATCTTTTGATTTTTATTACAAGTTAGATTGAACAATGCTTGTTTAAATAATTTATTATTATTGTTATTATTATTATTATTGTTCTTGTTCTTTCACTCTTACCTCATTTGGTGTGTGTGTGTGTGTTTATTATTATAGTTTATAGCTTGTGCTCTTTTGTAGATCAATTCAGTTTCTTATTTCATTATAAATAACTTTTAGTTTGTCAATAACTTTATTAAAGCAGCTACCATCATCTACTGTACATAACGCATGCGCTTTGATCCACAAACTGATTATTCCAATCAAAATCAGGCCAAAGTCCCTATCCCATAGCACATGGAACTAATGGGTTTTCGCTTGTCACGAATTTTGTGACAATGGAACTAATGGGTTTTTTGCTTGTCACGGATTTTGTGACAATGGAACTAATGGGTTTTTGCTTGTCACGGATTTCGTGACAAAGGAACTAATGGGTTTTTTGCTTGTCACGGATTTTGTGACAAAAGAACTAATGGGTTTTTGCTTGTCACGGATTTCGTGACAAAGGAACTAATGGGTTTTTTGCTTGTCACGGATTTCGTGACAATGGAACTAATGGGTTTTTGCTTGTCACGGATTTCGTGACAATGGAGCTAATGGGTTTTTTGCTTGTCACGGATTTCGTGACAATGGAACTAATGGGTTTTTGCTTGTCACGGATTTCGTGACAATGGAGCTAATGGGTTTTTGCTTGTCACGGATTTTGTGACAATGGAACTAATGGGTTTTTGCTTGTCACGGATTTTGTGACAATGGAACTAATGGGTTTTTGCTTGTCACGGATTTTGTGACAATGGAACTAATGGGTTTTTGCTTGTCACAGATTTCGTGACAATGGAACTAATGGGTTTTTTGCTTGTCACAGATTTCGTGACAATGGAACTAATGGGTTTTTTGTTTGTCACAGATTTTGTGATAATGAAATTATTAAAGTTTTTTTATTTTTTCAATAACAAGTGACCATTGAGAATACATTAGAAAAATAAAATGAAATCAATTTTTGAATAAAATTAATAAAACAAATAAAGAACTAGCAATGACGTAACATCAAGTGATGCTATTCTCGGGATCATTGTTAGCAAACGGATGATTGAACTCTGATCTCATTTTCAATAACAGCAATTGATTAGCGGCATCAGTCGTCTCTTCAGAACAGCTGCTTCGTTCACTACCTGATCTATCCTCTCCATTCTCCGACACATTGATCAATGAGCAGCCATCACTCGGTGTAGCAGGAGCTACTCTTGTTGGCTTGATAGGAGGAGATATTTCTTGTACTGTATCATTTGAATTGAACACGGACAATCTTCCTTTTCTTTTGTACGAGTACTTCCTGTGAAAGAAAGTGACTATGAGTGCTAGAAGGAACCCAGTTCCAATGATTGATAGAAATGTTAATGCTACAGGTTTCCAAAGGTCTTTGCCCACTTGTAGTAACCTCTCTTTGATGCTGTCCCGGACTATTGCAGCAATAGGGACTTTATTATCACGAGCTATTTTGTGTAGGGTATCTCGTGGTACTACGTAGTCAGTGATTCTAAATGGAGCCTTCACTGCTGCTTGTGGCAACAAAATGTACAAACTGATATGAATCATTGATGAGTTTTGGTTTAGAGGTTGATTCACAATGATGATGTCATTTGATGTAAAAGTGAGATACTCGATGCATAAAGATTCTTCACTAGAGGACAAAGAATGGTTACATTAACATGATAGTAATGGTTCCTATACTAACTTTGATTGATTGATACACATTGGCAGCAGTGAACACGAGTGAGGGTAGAGATTGCAATGGATTGTTGTACTGTTAGATAGAGCAGACTTAAATAAATCTTCAATTTTATCATTCCACTAGAAAAAAATAAAACACAATAAAGATTACTGAACACATTCTAAATACTTACCTCCTCCTTTATATTGTCAATGGTGAAGCTTGCAAGGTTTTCCATACCTTCTATTGCTGCTAAACTACCTGAACTATCATCACCTACAACACCACCAGACACATTCAGCTCCACTGCAACATAAACAGTAGTTGCCATTGTTTCTCTTCCCTGATCTTCAACTAGCACTGGGACTGTGTGATGTAATGATGTAGTATCTTCAGTGATTGACTGTGAGAGGAACAATTCTCCACTTGAAGAGTTTATCTGAAATAACGAAGAATATGGAACTGAATAAGTCAAGCTTCCATTCTCCCCTTTATCAAGGTCATGACATTGTACCACTGCTACTGGTACAGTGGCTGACATTGAAGGATCTATGCTAGTTTTGTATACGTTCCTAGAGCACTCTGGCCTGTTGTCATTGATATCTTGCACTTGAACATGTAGCATCATTGTATCAGTTCTAGCATCACTGGCATTGACTGGACTATCTGTTACTGTAATGACTAAGTTGTAATGATCTTCTCTTTCCCTGTCCATGGTTTTTGTCAGGAATAGCTCTCCAGTTTGAGCAATGATTGCAAAGTGTTCGGTTGAACTGTTCATGAAATACTTCAAGTCTCCATCAGGACCATCATCAGCATCCTCTGCTATAAGAACTGCTAGAACACTGCCAGGCTCCATATCCTCATTGACATTGAGAGCAATGGCAGACTCAGTAAAACTAGGGGCATTATCATTGACTGGTTGGACAGTAACATAAAGACTGAGGTTAGTGAATAATGCTGGAGACTGACTGTAGTAGCATGTACCTGACAATTGGTGAAGGGTTGCTGTTTCATAATCAAGATTAGTCATTGTGCTGATAGCACCATTGATAGGATTAATAAGAAACATGCTATTGCTATCTAGTGTATACTGTATTGTAGCATCACTTAATGCTGAGATGCAGTTAAACTGAGCTATGCTTGTTCCAATGGAAGCATCTTCGTTCACTGTAGCATGGTAAGTGCTAGGATTAGAGATCGGTAATGGAATACAGTGAGTCAATAAGACATTGAATGAAACTGTCGCTGTCAATGAGTGAGGCTTACCACTGTCTGTAGCATTGACATAATATTGAAACTGTTGTCCATGGTGACAGTTAGGTGTGGAGGTGATGATTAGCTCACCCGAAATGCTATCAACTCTTAAAAATTGAGGGACATCAATTGGAGCCTGTAAACTGTAGTGGATTAGTCCTGAATAGCCTTTGTCCTTATCACTGGCCTCAAAGTGATGGAGTAGAGTCCCTGGTTCATTATTAGTTTCGTTTAGTGTAAAGTTTAAAAAATTATCTAGTGTTGTGAATAAAGGTGAGAATTCATTTTCCTCATTGACACTAACAGTTAATACACTTGTTGACGATAGACTTGGTATTCCCTTATCATAACATACCACTAGCAGTTGATATTGCTTGATTGTTTCATAGTCAATGTCACCAATAACTGAAACTGAGCCACTTTCTCCATGCAAATAAAACGAGTGTTCTGCCTCAAGTTGTTGCATGATGGTACCATTTTGCATGAGTTGAAGAGAAGACGTGAGATTAAGGGATACAGCTCCATTGTTCCCTGTATCAGCATCAGTACAGGTAATATCAGCTACTACAGTATCATATGGAGCATTCTCAATCACACTTGTAAAGACATACTCTGGCATTACTGGTGGATTGTCATTAAAGTCTTCTACAATAATATTTACTATTGCAGTATCATTGAGAGAGGAACAGTGAGAAATAGCAGTCAATAAATGAAGAGACTCCATTTCATAGTCAAGTTGCTCTAATAGTATAATGTCCCCATTTGAAAGAATAGCAAACGTGTCTTCTGTTTTAGGTTTTAGACTGTAGGACGCTCCCTTGCCAGTACAAACTGCTTCTACTGTACAGACTAAAGAACCGATCATTGCTGACTCAGGTATGCTGCAGTTGTACTCGGAAGCTGTGAATAATGGCCTCTCTTGTAAAGGATAAAGAATCAGTAAAACTTTAGCAATAGCATAGTGATGTCCATCATGAACAGCAATGCTGATCCAGACAGAAGTACTGTTATCAATTGTATTATTAATTAATTGATTTAATACAATTACAGCATCACTTTGGTTAGTGTCGTTAAGGACGACTAATGCATTGTCTTCCATTATAACAAATGATAGTTTGTCATTGTCTGCATCACTACACAAGAGGTTTCCGAGGGTACTACCTGTGCTCATGTTACCGTAGACACTAATTGGAGGAACTGTCTGACAGGATGGTGGGTTATCGTTAACATTAAGTACTTGGATGGTAATATTAGCTGAATTGTAAGTAAAAGGTGCTTGATTGTCGTGTACAGTCACTGAACACAATATAAAAGGGTTTTCTTCATAGTCTAAGTCTGAAGTTAAAGCAACAGCACTTGAGCTGTCATCTATTGCCATGACTGAACTGCATAATGAGCTATTCATTTGATATGTTAGCTCCCCTGCTATACCTTTGTCTTCGTCAGAGACGTTAAGATGTCCAATAATCGTTCCAATTGAAGTGCCTTCAGGTACAAGAAACACAACCTCATTCTCATTGAAGACACATTGATACTCATTAACACTCAATACCTCAACGACCAGGAGAGATAGAGAAGAGTAGTGTGAGATTTGGGAGTCGGTACAAAATAAAACTATACGATGATTGGATTCTGTTTCATAGTCTAGGCTGGATTGAAGAAATACTTCACCGGTTGAATTATTAATATCAAATAAATTATCACTAGATTGCTCTGATATACCATATACAGGAATAGCATTAGTCCCACTGTCCATATCATTGCATTGGACTGTGAGTAGGTGGTCAAGGAGACTGGCATTCTCAGGGACTTGTGTATAATACACATCAAGGCTGAAAAATGGAGAATTGTCATTCACGTCTTCAATTTCAATAAAAACTGAAGTAGTACTAGTAAGAGAGGATGATGTGTTCCATGGAGTATCACTCACTATAACAATTAGTTCCAATAATGGAGGAGCAATCTCTTCGTAGTCAAGATCAGCCATTACATACAGCTCCCCTCCTGCTGTAAGATGACAGTGATCAGATCCATTACCGCCATTTAGAGTAAAGACAAACTCTCCATCCAACCCACCGTCTTCATCAAGAGCACTCAACTCTCCAATCTTGCTGCCAATGCTTGTACCCTCAGGAACTGTATAAAAGAACGAATCATTGAGAAACACAGGTGGGTACTCATTAATGGGAAGAACTCGTAGTGAAAGACTAGCATTGCCCGGGACGGGAGTCTTAGCTGAGTCAGTGAACGAAACCAGCAAATCAAAAACCGATTGGTTCTCAAAATTGAGTTTCTCTTCGATCAAGACATATCCCAGAGAATCAATGGAGACTATGGACATGGGAGGTATAAATAAAAATGGTTCGTCAGAATCAGAAGAACAGTTCAATGACTGCGTTGTATTGAATGGAGGGTCAAGGTTTTCCTCTACTAAGAGGAGCAGTTGTGATGGAGAGCATGTCACAGGGACATCAGGCAACTCGAGTATGCCAATCCTAACATTAACCGTTTGAGTATATCCAAAGACACTAGCCTGTACTGTCCCTAAGTAAGGACTACTGAGAGTAGCGAGGGAGCCAACTAGCGTTATGATACCAGTGCTAGACTCGACACTAAAGGGTAAGCTCAAGCCAGAATAAGTGACCGGGTCGCCATAAGCATTAGAAGCTGATACACTTAATACTGTAGAGCCAGTTGTAGCGTTTTCTAGTACTGACGCTGTGTAGGAGGATTCAGCAAATACTGGGCATGGCAGACAAGCTCTGGATATAGAAAACAACCCGAGGAAGAAGATACAAGCAATGTAGAGCCCTGTGGTTGAAGTAAAATAAATATATTTTAAAATATAAGCTCTAACCTCCTTGGTCTTGCAGTAACATCATGAGCTCTTCTGCAAAGTTGTCAGGGCGTGGCTCATTATCATTCTGTGGGCGTGGCTTATTTTTGATTGAACAAAAATGGCGGAAAAGGCCGAGGAAGATGAGGAATTGTATTGCATTTGTCGCCAGCCGTACCACCCAGAGGACTTTATGATAGAGTGCGACAAGTGCTCAGACTGGTTTCATGGCTGGTAGGTTGATCTACCCTCTCTAGTTATTAGCCTGCACTTTGTTGTATTGGAAAGGGGGAGGGTCTCTGAATGTTTGTTTTGTCATTCTTATCTCTTTCTCGCCTCCTTTATCTCCTTATTAGCTGTGTTGGTGTGGAGGAGTATCAGTCTAATGACATTGAAACCTACCATTGTCCTAATTGTCAGCTAATTCACGGACCACTGATATGTGAGTTGCACTGTACTTTACATCATCATCATCATCATTATCATTATTATTATTATTATTATTATTATTGTAGTGAAGAGGAGACGAAATTGGCACCGTCATGATTATTCTGAACTGAATGATGGTCATAATGTAAGTAGTACTGATCATTAATAACTGTTATCAGTTAATTAATGATTACTCATAATGATGTCATTGTTTTTGTTATAGGCTATACAATCTGGTACTGTTGTTTTTGTCAATAAACTTAAAAAGATGAAGTTTCCAAAGTATTAATCACTATTTCCCTTTTTAACAGTCTTTGTCCCCTCTCCCCCTCTCCCTCCAGCTCTGATGAGGTAGTTCTTCGTCCCAAAGGATCTGATTTGACGCTTGACTGGTTCTCAGTGAATGGTTTTAAGAAACCAATGATCATTGAGGAACCAGCTGGATTAGATCTCAAAGTCCCACCATCAGATTTCACCATAATGGACGTTGAGAGATATGTTGGATCTTTAAGAGAGCTTGATGCTATTGATGTATCAAGACAGGACGATATTAAGATGAAGATGAGAGAATGGGTCGAATACCATTCAACGTTGCCACGTACTAAAGTCATTAACGTGATCAGTCTAGAGTTTTCTGACACACCGTAAGTTTGTGAGGAGAGAGAAGGGAGAGAGGTGGGGAAGGTGATACAAGTGATAGAGCTAATGTGAAGTGTGGATGTTGTGTGTAGTCATGTTCATATACGTGTACTTTTACTTGATAATGTTATTTGAGAAATGAATACCAATGAAACTATACTATTGAAATATCTCTAGTCTACTACTACAATAATAATAATAATAATAATAATAATAATAATAATAATAATAATAATAATAATAATAATAATAATAATAATAATAATAATAATAGTAATAATAATGATGATGATGATGATGATGATGATAATTGTTCCATCTATTGATGAGAAAGTGTACTCCGGCAAGATGCTGGAAGGAAGCAGGCCACACTGAACCCATAGTACAGGTGCATACATGGAGCTGTTGCAGTAAACCTGGTGCAGCCATTGAAAGCAAAGGCATAAGTACTCCCTTCAAAGACTTTAAAGGTTTTCCCTGAATCCCCTGCTTGGAGTATCGGATATCCATTATTAAAACCGTCTTCTTCATACATTAATGTAGTGCAAGGTGGCACATACGATTTACCTTTACTGCACGGGAACAAACCCTCTAGGTTGAGGAACCCAGCCGCTAGAGCTTGCCCGTGAGTTCTAAAGTTTGTCCGATATGCTAAAAGGCTTGATGTGACATTTTTTGTCCCGTCTCCATATTGAAGGGTATCCAGGGTAGGGCTATAATCAAGTACATCTCCTCTGAATTTTCTTACTGTTAGTACCTTATGTTTATTACTGAATATGATTAGAATCTCAATTGCTAGAAAAGGAGAATATTTAAAAGTAACATGCTCTCACACAAATCTACCTGGCTGATCACCAAGCCCTGCTATATTAGTAATATTTCTATTTTCTAATGACTCTTCTTTATTGTTAGCTGTTGTTCTTCTTTCATTACTGTCTTGTACCTTCTCTCCTGATGCTACATAACCCAGTCCTCCTATCAATATAATGACAATAAAGGTCTTCATGACTTCAGAATATCAATCAGTTATACAGTGACTATGCTGCATGCACTGATACAACTGCTCACAAGATCTCCCAGCAGTGTATGCATAGGGTCTCTGGGTTTGTTTGTGTTTTATATTAATTTGATAGTTTAGTGTCCATGTATATACATCACTGTATTCTAATTGATCATAACTGTGATAATTTTTGAAACTAAATTAACCACATGGATGCATACACTGAATTAAAACTTTAAGTAATCTCCATAATTATAGATTTGTTTATATTCTCAGCTCATTATTAAAATTGCATAAGTTATATTGCATGATTTTAACTGATTTTAAAACCAAATTAACATTCTTTATGTGCGAAACTACTACTCAAACTTTATAATAATACTGCTAATAATTATTATAATAATACTGCTAATAATAATTATAATAATACTGCTAATAATAATAATAATAATACTGCTAATAATAATAATAATAATACTGCTAATAATAATAATAATACTGCTAACAATAATAATAATAATAATAATAATAATAATACTGCTAATAATTGTTTCAAGTCTGTTGATGACAAGGCATATCATGGCAGATAGCGACATCCTGCAGGAAGAAAGCAAGCAATGCTAAAGGTGTAATACTTATCCATACAAGGAGCTGCTCCGGTAAATTTAGTGCAGCCACTGAAAGCAAATCCATAAGTGCTGGTAGTGGCAGAAAATACTTTGAAATTGTTTCCTGTATCTCCTGCTTGGAGTAATGGCCTTCCTTTGTTGAAGCCACCCTCTCCCTGTGTTAAACTGGTACAGGACGGGACGTAATTTTGTCCTTTTTTAATGCATGGGAACAGATTCTCCAAGTTGATAAACACAGCTGCTAGTTTGAGATTATGGGTATTGAAGTTTGGCCGATATGCTAGAATGTTTGAGGTGACACCTGCTGATCCATCTTTGATGTCGATCGCATCAAGTTCTGGTCCCAGTTCAAAAGTGTGTCCAATGAATTTTCTTATTTTAATTATTTTATCATTATTTGACACGTGGAAAACCTCTATCACTAGAAAACAGAATTATGAAATAGACTAGTTTATTCACAGTATTATCTACTGGTAGTTAATGAATGTATGTATGTATATTGTTTGCTGGTTTCTTACGGGGTTGATCAACAAGATTAGCTGCAAAGTAGTTGACATTTCTATTACCCATTGGCTCATCTTCTTTATTGTTAGCTGTTGTTCTTCCTTCATTACTGTCTTGTACCTTCTCTCCTGATGCTACATAACCCAGTCCTCCTATCAATATTATGACAATAAAGGTCTTCATGACTTCAGAATATCAATCAGCTATACAGTTACTATGCTGCCATGCACTGATACAACTACTCACAAGATCTCCCAGCAGTGTATGCATAGGGTCTCTGGGTTTGTTTGTGTTTTATATTAATTTGATAGTTTAGTGTCCTTGTATATACACCACTCCATGCTCTTGATACTAATTGCAACTAGTTTTAAACCAAATCATTTCTCTATAATGTCAGATTGTGTATGGTTCATGTACATGATTATTATCAAGAGTATATAAGAATATACTCTTGTTATTATGCTCCTCTTCTTTCATAGATTGACTGAACTTGTTGAACCTCCTGCTGTTGTACGGGAAATGGACTGGATTAACATTCACTGGCCCAACAAAGTCCCTGAGGATGGGTTAGTACCACTTAATAATAATAATAATAATAATAATAATAATAATAATAATAATAATAATAATAATAATAATAATAATAATAATAATAATAATAATAATAATAATAATAATAATAATAATAATAATAATGAATATTGATTAGGCCACAAAGACCTCAAGTCCAGAAGTATTGTTTGATGGGTACTCAGGATAGCTATACTGACTTTCATGTTGACTTTGGAGGGACTTCAGTCTGGTACCACATTATTTGGGTCAGTATGAGATTGAGAGCAGTATGAGAATCAGAGATCTTGTAATTTTGAAGGGGAAAATCTAAGAGTTTTGATAGCCATTTGTCAAAATAAAAGTATTATTATTATTATTATTATTATTATTATTAATAGGGTGAGAAGGTCTTCTATTTGATTCCTCCAACTGAAGAGAACCTCCTACTTTACGAGCAGTGGGTTCTCTCTTCAAATCAAAGTGAGATATTCTTTGGATCGCAAGTCAAGAGATGCTACTGTGTTCACGTCCATCCTGGAAACACTCTCTTCATACCATCAGGTCAAGATACTTGTACATGTACATGTGTGTGTGTAGTGCTGCTTGATGTTGTTACTTACTAATGTATCACTGTATTGCAGGATGGATACATGCTATTAATGTTGATATGAATGAGTTATATAATACATTATATCTTACACAATGTATCATGTACTGTATTGCAGGATGGATACATGCTATTAATGTTGATATGAATGAGTTATATAATACATTATATCTTACACAATATATCATGTACTGTATTGCAGGATGGATACATGCTATTAATGTTGATATGAATGAGTTATATAATACATTATATCTTACACAATGTATCATGTACTGTATTGCAGGATGGATACATGCTATTAATGTTGATGTGAATGAGTTATATAATACATTATATCTTACACAATGTATCATGTACTGTATTGCAGGATGGATACATGCTATTAATGTTGATATGAATGAGTTATATAATACATTATATCTTACACAATGTATCATGTACTGTATTGCAGGATGGATACATGCTATTAATGTTGATATGAATGAGTTATATAATACATTATATCTTACACAATGTATCATGTACTGTATTGCAGGATGGATACATGCTATTAATGTTGATGTGAATGAGTTATATAATACATTATATCTTACACAATGTATCATGTACTGTATTGCAGGATGGATACATGCTATTAATGTTGATATGAATGAGTTATATAATACATTATATCTTACACAATGTATCATGTACTGTATTGCAGGATGGATACATGCTATTAATGTTGATATGAATGAGTTATATAATACATTATATCTTACACAATGTATCATGTACTGTATTGCAGGATGGATACATGCTATTAATGTTGATATGAATGAGTTATATAATACATTATATCTTACTCAATATATCATGTACTGTATTGCAGGATGGATACATGCTATTAATGTTGATGTGAATGAGTTATATAATACATTATATCTTACACAATGTATCATGCACTGTATTGCAGGATGGATACATGCTATTAATGTTGATATGAATGAGTTATATAATACATTATATCTTACTCAATGTATCATGTACTGTATTGCAGGATGGATACATGCTATTAATGTTGATATGAATGAGTTATATAATACATTATATCTTACACAATGTATCATGTACTGTATTGCAGGATGGATACATGCTGTTCTTACTCCTAAAGACTCTCTTGTGTTTGGTGGGAATTTCCTTCACGTGTTTGGCATTGAACTGCAGACAAGGTAATGTATAGAAACACCATAAAATTGTGATTGTGTATAGCTGGCATTCTAGAAGAGGATTCTGCCTTTTCTGATGCGTATACATGTTCTTATGTTGTGTAGAAAGTTTGAGCTGATTCCAATCAAAATTTGATTTTTTATGAATTTATAAAGTTATTAAAAAATCTGCCAAAAGACCGTGTATTTTAAGTTTTTTTAAAATGGCCGTAACTCGAAAAATTGAAGTCGGAATTGACTCAAACTTTCTACACAGCATAAGGACATCAATATGTATCAGAAAATGTAATGAAAATTTGGGGTGATTTTTGAGCCATTTTTTTGAAAAAACCATGGGCAATAGCCTTGGGTATTTTTCAGACTTTTGGCATTTTCTTAAAATGGCCGTAACTCGAAAAATTGAAGTCGGAATCAGCTCAAACTTTCTACACAGCATAAGGACATCAATATGTATCAGAAAATGTAATAAAAATTTGGGGTGATTTTTGAGCCATTTTTTCAAAAAAACCATGGGCTATAGCCTTGGGTATTTTTCAGATTTTTGGCATTTTCTTAAAATGGCCATAACTCGAAAAATTGAAGTCGGAATCAGCTCAAACTTTCTACACAGCATAAGGACATCAATATGCATCAGAAAATGTAATAAAAATTTGGGGTGATTTCGGAGCCATTTTTGGAAAAAATCATGGGCTATAGCCTTGGGTATTTTTCAAAAGTCATACATGTTCTGTTATACATTATGCAGAGTCTATGATATGGAGATTAGACTGGGCACTCCTGAAAAGTTCTTGCATCCAAGCTATGAGAGCTTGTGTTGGTATGCAGCCAAAAACTATCATCAGGAGTTACTGGGTAAGTAATAGCAGCTGTATTGATCAAGATACTTCACATTCCTCTCATCACTAGAGCACATACAGGGTAGCAGCTGTCCTCCATCTTATCTATTGACTGGTTTAAGTTCATTAGCTCATACTCTTCATGAATGGACCAACAAGAAAGAAGTATTATATATTGTCCAGCTACTATACTTTCTCTATTTTTATTTTTCATGTTTTTTTTCATTTTTCTCATTTAGTCTGCACAGTATCACAATTGGTCCATTCCACAAGGTATTAGACCAGGTACTTTGATCAATCAGCTGAAGAAAGCTATTAAACTTTTAAAGGTAAGTACTTGTTTGTATACAGTTACATAATGTATGCAGAAATAGTGGGTTTGAACCTTAATAATAATTACTATTACTATTATAATATAATGTTCAATATCCTTAGACTAACCATAAGCATTACTCAAGTCAAGAGACACAGTTTGAGGAAGAAGAGGAGCAACATGGAGAGACAGTTGAGCCTATTAAGCTTCGTTTGAGTCATGGGCAGATTTCAAGGTATGAAGAAATAAATTATGATTTTATTGCAATGGATTATTGTGTATACAGTTATGTTGACAAGAAGCAAGAGAAGGAGCCTATCACTTTAAAGCTGACACTACCACAGACCAAGAGGAAGAGAAGAAAGGCGAGTGAGAGGTTAGTCAAGAGATTATTCATGTTCATGTACAGTATTGCATGATTTAATGGCTGCAGCAGCTCTGAAGAATTCATAGAAAAGGAAGACAAAGAATATGAAGATGGAGAGTTTGGTAAGCCACACAGCACACACTCTCTTCTCTTCTCTAGATTTCTTTCTTTGAGCTACAATCTTTCATCTTTCATTACTACACCATCTCCTCCAGTCTATACAGAATTAGTTGGTAAAGGCGATGCTGGTGCTATTATTAATGACAGAGAAGACAGGCTCTGGAAGCCAAGCAGTAAACTTGTACAGAAAGGCTCTCACACTAAGAAGATAAAGAGAGAAGAGGATTATGAGCCAATTAAGAAACAAGCAAAAGAGACACCTTCGGTTTCCAAAGTGAAGACAAAAACCGTCAAACAAAGACTTGGAAAGATACTGGGTCTTGACAGAACTGGTCACTTTTTAAAGAAATAGCCAACAGTCACCATTACTTACTACAGAGACACACTCTTCAGTTGAAGCATGCACATATACTCCAGTATTATATTTTGTATATCTCATCTTGGTAATGCTAACAATGTTAATGCACTCACCCACAGTTTTATTTTATTATAATAATGATTTTAAATTAGTGCAATGTGAATACATAATCAACACACTTATTGAAAGGAAAAACTAACTAAAATGACATTAAAACTTAATATGTATAACTAAGTGCAGGAATAGTCTTGGTAACTTCAAATTGAAGAAAACGCAATTTTTGGATGTGTCTTTGTAGCTTCTAATGCTTGTAAACCATATGTGTGTTTCATCTTACTCTCTTGTAGCTGTTCATTTGATTCATGGCCTGGAGAGAAGGTAGAAAGGAAATTATTATAGGAGGCCATAAGGTCATATGGTGATTGCAGATCATCTTCAAGTGGATTCTTTGCTTTAGTAACTTGCTTGCTTTTGTCATCTTTTGTTTGAGCTGCTACTAGCATACTTTTCTTGATTTGATGTTTTGCTTTAACAACTGCTTGAGATGATGTTTGGTTAGCCTGAGAGAGTGCGTCAAGAATTTCAATGTGACCGAAGTATGCTGCAAGGTCCAGAGGAGTTTGTCCGTATCTATTTCGTTTGATGTTGGCTCCATGTTGAATTAAAAGTTCGACTATTCCCAAATGACCACTTGCAACAGCATAAAAGATTGGAGTCCAACCACTAGAGTTTTGCTCTAATTCAGTATCAGCACTAGCTTCTAGTAATTGCTTTATTGCCTCCTCGTGACAAGTGTAAGCAGCAAGACACAGCGGAGTATTTCCTTGAAAATCAAGAGTGTTAACTTTAGCTTTAGCTTTAAGAAGTAACGAGACAATATCTTTATGGTGATAAAGACATGCTGCATGTAATGGTGATCTGTTATAGTAAATATCAGGAATATTTGGATTGGCTCCAGCTTTAAGGAGTGCTGCTACTGTACTTGACTTTTTAGGGTCAAATGATGAAATGTATATGAGTAAAGGTGATATTCTCTTGTTTGTGTAAATTTTAGGATCAGCTCTAGCTTTGAGAAGACACTGTATCATTTCATCATTGCCACGATGGCAAGCCCAGCCCAATGCCGTGCAGCCATTAATATTTTGAACATTAACATCAGCATTAGATTTAAGCAGGAGAGATACCAAAGCTGTGTCAGTTTGCTGAATTGCTAAGAGAAGTGCTGTATTCTTGCCCATTGTACTATCAGTCTGTTTGTTGACATAAGCTCCTGATTGTAGCAAGAGGTTGACCACTTTGTGTTGCCTATAATAACACGCTGTCATAAGAGGCGTTCTTCCATCATCCAGGGATATATTAGGGTCAGCATTGTACTTCATCAGCAATACTTTAACTAGCTCTTCTAGCTCTGGATTATATGGCACCTTTTCACAAGCTATGTATAATGCTGTTTTGCCTCCTTTTAGATTAAATGGCATATTAGCTATTGTCTTCATATTGGGGTTAGCTCCCGCTTCAAGAAGTAATAAAGCACTTTGAACACTTCCTGATTCACAGGCAAGCATCAGTGCACTATAACTATAAACGTTTCGAAAATCTTTATCAGCTCCTTTCTGCAGAAGCAGATAAACAATATCCTCATGATTAGATATAGCTGCTCCCATGAGCGGGGTGAATTTTGAAAATGGATCGTGATGATCAGGAGACACACCAGCCTTCAGTAAGAGCTCCACAACTTGTTTGTTGCCACTATAAGCAGCCATATGTATTGCTGAAAGATGTTGCCTGTTGAACATGTGTATATCAGCGTTGTACTTAATCAGCAGGGACAAAGCTTCTGTATTGTTGGACATGGCTGCTAGTAGTAATGGTGTTTGAACAGGATCATCTCCATCAGGATCAGTCCCTATATCCAAGAGAAACTGAATGAGTGCTTTATTACATCTTTCACATATAGCAGCACCCAAGCTTGCTTCAAAAGTAAAAGCAGCAACAGTTATATGTGTTGCAGAAAAACTGAGCGGTCCAACTTGAATGCTTACAATGCCAAGGTAAACCATTTCTTGATGTTTTCTGCTTGCAAGTGCTAAAAGAGAAACCATTTCTGACTGAGGAGCTAACAGCTGAACTAAAACTGAACCATCTTCAATTCTTAATCTTGTCAATATTGAACTTTTCTTTTTAAAGAGATACTCCAACAGTTTTCTGAGATTATGCAAAGTGATGTCAAGCCATTCACCTTCTAACCTTAGGACCACAGGGCACTGGTCAGGTGATGGATCAACCGCTGCTTCAGAAGCTGCAGTTTCAACTGCTTCTTTGAACTCTTGCACTGTTGTGGATTTCAACCATTGAGTTAATTCTTGATTGTACTTTTCCATGTGCTCTCTCATTGCTTCCATCACAAATTTAGATACTATCACTTGCAAGGTCTTATAGCTCATAAAGCTGTAGTGAGGTTGTAGGCGATTGAATAGCTCTCTGATAGTTTGTGGTTGAGGCTCAGAGACTTGACAAAGATTGCTGACAAAAGAAAGCACGTCATCTAAATTAGCTTCTTCTCTTAATGCCTTCTCTATTTTGGAGACCAAGAACGTGAATTGTAACGTGATGTCATCAAGTGAACGACCAAATCCTTCCTCCTCCTTCAATGGAACGACTCTAGCTAGATCATGTAGTGTCTGGTACTGTGGAAATGTCTTTGTCAAATGCTTTTCGTTTGGTATCTTCTCAAGTGCTTCAATGACTCTCTTCCAAGACAGATCTTTCACGTTTTTTACCAAGTAGTCAAGAAGGTGCGTCACTCTACTCTGGATAGTGCTATTCTCTGCCTTAATGCTACCAAGCACATGAGAAGGAACGCCCATGAGACCACCAAACGTTTCCCATTCAACCAGTCGAGACAAATGGGTAAGAAGATCTTGTAGGTCAGGGGTTTCATGACTTTCATCTTGCTTTCTTAGCGTAGAGAGAGACATTTTGAGCCAGCTAGTCCCAAAAATTGGGCGGGGTCAGCTGCTGTGTCAGACATGATGTATATTTTTTATACAGCACATTGTCACTGGCTCAATGCAATGAAATGAAAAATGGACTAGCAAAAAATAATAATGTACAAAAACTCAATAGTGTCTATTCCATCAGTTTTTGTCTAGCTGTGTTCGCCAACCACCAAACAAGGAGAGACAAAAGCATGGCCACAAATCCTGGAGCTATAAAACTTTGAGTTTTAATACCCTAAAAATAAAGAAATAAAAAAGAAATAAATATTTTAAACAAATGCACATTAAACTCTTATTACCTTGTGTTCCACATCAACAGTAAACAAAGGATCAACTTTGACATCTTCACCGTATCTCATATTCTAAAAAATAAAAAACAAATAAAACCATTATGCTGACAAATATAAAGCCATTTAATTTATAACTTCACATGAATAAGTTCTCACCTTTCTCATGGTAGAGGCTCCTTCATCGTCATAGAAACCAACTGGTATCGTACCTTTGACAGCTTTATTATGGGGAAGGGACCAACTAACCTACTCAAATAATAATAATAATAATAATAATAATAATAACAACAACAATAATAACAGAAACACAATGTACTCAATCCACTTACTCAATTAATATTAATTAATTAATTAATTAAATGCGAGGTCAAGAACAGGTTTTATGTAGCACAATTGTCCCACTCAGCAGGTCATGTGACTACCATGTGACATGCACAGGAGCGACCGACACTGAGTTCTTTACATGTGCAAGTACAAACACAATACAAGGACCCACCCCTTCGCCAGACTATTCAAGTACATACCTGGTAGGAATTAGAGGAGGTTGATTTGGTCACTAGAATCAGCTCATTATTGACAAAAGCATAAAGTGAAGGAGCCTACACAACAACACAATAATTCAATGTAGCCCTGCCACACCCACTTAAAATTGACGCATTCACTGGAGTCTTTAAACTTACTTGGTTATTGCTACACGTTACGGTGAGTTCAATGCTGTAAACTGTCTCTGTGGAGAAGAAAGCATCCCCTGAAGTATAGGTGGAGCTTTCAACCTTTGGATTAGGACAGTCACCTAATAATATAATAATAATAATATTGATACTCTTAAATAGCAAGCTTATTACCTAAAATTCCTATAAATAAAGTACTAAAAACTATTAACTGAAGAATAAAGAAATGTCTAAAGTCCATCTCTACTTCTTTGTTCTTTGTGAGTCAAAAAATGTGAGGGTTAAAAAAATTAAGATCACGTGATCCTTACAGTGCCACACCTATTTCAAGATGGCGGCAGATAGTTCTTCGGACCCTGCACAGATATCAATAGATCAGGAGGAATTCACTCGACTGCAGGTAAGAGGAGGGAGAGGGTACACTACAGGGGCAGTGTCTAATCACCAGCGACCTCTAATTTGAACTATTCATTGCAGACACAACTGATAGAGCTGAGGACCAAGAACTATGAGCTGAAGGAGGAGCAGTCAAAGAAGGACGCTGGTATGATATCATCCTTGAACACACACACACGTGCAGAGAGAGAGGCTGCAGTAAAGAGTACATTATGTCATACAATATTTTGCAGCTATGAACCTTTAAGCATTATGATTGGTCTAGTCGTAATGGGTGTGGCAATAGTAATGTACATGAATATTTAATGAGGTTTGGTGGTTTTTAATTAATGCTCTTTTATTAATAGCTTTAGTCTAACTTTAAATACCATATATAATTAATACTGTATGCTGTATACATTTACAATAAACACTGTATAGTGTAACTTTAATTAATAAATTATTAATTAATTTAAACATTTCTTTAGAATACAAGCAATTGCTTAGCAGCAATCAGCAACTAAACAAAGAACTAGAGAAAGCAAACAAGGTAAAGTAATGTGGATATAATATATACATGCACTTATGTGTTGCTTGAGCTCATTACCATCAAATTTTGATTTTTTATGAATTTTTAAAGATGCTCCAAAATTGGGCCAAAGTCCCTGTACTATAATACAGGGACTTTGGTCCAATCCCACCGAAAGTTGCTATGATCGAATGATGCTATAAATAATCATTTTTTCATTTTTCATGCAGTCGATACAAAGGAGCAAGAAAGCTAAAGAGTATCAGTTACTCTCCGAAGAGAATGAGGTCCTTCAGAAGAGACTCCACACTCAAGAAGAAGACTTCAAGCTACAGAACACAACACTAATGAACGAACTGGCTAAGGTACAATGTAATGGAACAACATGTTTCATATTGTTCCATCAATTGCAGTATACATGTTACACTTTATCTGTGTGCTTGTAGGTTTGTGAAGAGAAGGAAGTATTGAAGAAAGGGGGTGGGGCAGGAGGTGTGGCTAGTGGAGATAGAGGGAGTTCACAAGAACTGACTCACTTGCAAGCTGAGAACAAAGCATTGCAAAAATCACTGCAAAGTAATCATTGTTAATAATATTAATATTGTCATTATTTTATATTTACTTTAATGTTAGCGTTACAAGAACAGCTTCAATCAGCAGGGAGAGAAGGAGAGCAGACAGAGGGAGAAGAACCGTCCACCATTAAAGGAGAAGAAGATGACAGAGTACAACCAGCACAGGCTCCTCCAGTGGCTATTAATCTAAAACTAGCAACTCTTGAAGAAGAGAATAAGATACTGCAAGAGCAGCTATCGGCAATGGAGGAGAAGGGAAGGAGAGAAAAGGAGGAGCTTAAGACCCAGATAGATAGACTGGAGGAGAAAACTAGAAAGAAACAAGAAATGTACATAAGTTGAGAGAGAGGGAGGGGGAGAGAGAGAGGGAGGGAGAGAGAGAGGGAGAGGGAGAGAGAGAAGGGACACTGAAAGTTTGAGTATAATAGCAGCTCTATGACTATTTCACTTTTATTTTTAGCTTAGTTCAAGTGCAGAATGAAAAGGAGAAAATATTAAGTGAAAACAAGTAAAAGCAATATACATTTAACTATGATACTTTAACTAATATTCATTAAATTATAAGTATACTTGTATTTATTGTCATTTTTAGATTAAGTTATGACAACATGTGTCAAGAGAAGGAGAGAGAGATGGAGTCTTTGCATCAGGAAATAAAACAACTACAAGAAGAAGATGAGAATAGACGACAAGTTAGTAATAATTACATGTAGTTGAGTAGCTGATGTCATTCATTGTAGGAGAGTGAATCCAGTGCTGATTTAGCTCAACAGATTTCATCTCTTAAAAATGAGAAGGAGGAATTATTAAAGAAATATAGACATTTACAAGAGGTACGTTATAAGAATAGGTACTTACATGTGCAATATATGTGCATGTATGTTCTTTATGGCTGCTAGTACATTTAAGAATTGCTACATTTTGTGTTGTTTTATTTCACTGCAGCATCAAGAAGCACTTACTAATGAACGGGACAGTAACAAAGTAAGTCATTGTCACACTCTCTCATTTAATGACATGCTCCCTCCCCCTCTCTTTCTCTCTCTCTCAGGTTATTCTGGAAGAGCTGAGTACAGAGTTACAGCAATCAAAGAAAGAGTTGGGAGAGATGAAGAGAAAGTATTCAGATATGGAGTTGGAACTGAAGTCATCTCAAGAAGCTAATGACAGTCTTGCCGATCAGCTATTGACCGCTAGGGAAGACAGAATAAAATTGGGAGAAACTATATCTACCATTGAAAAGGTGGGAGGGAGGGAGAACTAATTCTATTATTATTATTATTAATTAATAATATTATTTGGTAGTTGGCTGACAAACGGAAGAGCCTGTTGGATGAGATGGCCATCAAAGAACATGAAACTGCTACTGAAAATAAAAAGAAAGAAAATGATCTAATAGACAAATATAAGGTATATCATATACATTTCTTTATAAAATAACCAGCCAAAGACCATGTACTATAATACAGGGTCTTTTGTTGAAGCTTTACAAAATCAATTTTACACTTTAATGTCATTAATATATATATCCATATATATATGTACTTGTACTTTATTTATTATTACAGGGTGAGATTGAGTCTCTCCAGTCACAATTGGATGAAGAAAGAGATAAAGTTAAACATTTGAATTCATCAGTTGATGAATTAGCTGATCTTAAGAGAAGAATAAAATCAATGGAGAATATGAAGGAAACTTATGAACAACAACTGAAGGAAGCACAAGTAATCCATCTAGACTGTATGCATCAATTATTTCATTCAAAATTGGAATTTAGCAGAAATATTGAGTACCTAAACTATAGCCTGCAAAATGATGCATAGTTCAATACAATATGATTATTAAATTCTGAAATATAATGTACATAATGTTCATGTATTAGGAGTCCTTCAGTAAAGAGAAAGGTGAACTAGAACTTAAACTGAGTGAGTTAGATGGAGAGTATAAAGAAAGATTGACTGGACTAGAGACTGAGGCAGAGGAAGAGAGAAAGAAAGCAACTGAACTGAAGGAAAAGATAACTGAACTGGAGTTAGAACTAGATGAGAAGACACAGGAAATTAACATAACTGGAAAGAAATCATCTAATCTTGTAAGAGTGGAAAGAGAAAGGGAGAGAGAGAGAGAGAGAGAGAGATCTGACAGATAAATAAATTCATGCAGTATATGTACTGTACATGTAGATTAAAGATCTAAAGCGTCAGCTTCAGGCAGCACAGAAGAGAGAGGAGAGACTCCAAGACTCATTATCATCATCATCACCTCATATTGAAGTATCAACTCCTATCAGGCAAGACTCAAGACATAGCAGGTGCATACACACACCATTGGGTGCAAGCATCCACTTCATTTTGGGAGGGATTTCAGAGTCTTTTGAATTAATAATAATACTGATGTTAATATTGTGATGTTAATATTGTGTAGGGAGAGTAGTTTATCATCTGTAAGAGGAATAGGAGCAACTGGAGGAGCTGAACAAACTCAACAAGTATGTCACTAGTATAGCAATACATGTACACCCATTCATATGTTCATTTCATCTTTACTAAGTGGTTTCTTATGATAACTCTGTGAGTAATGGGGTATTATTTCTTTAAAAGGTCAAACCACTAGCTTGTGAAGTTGTTTTTTATTTAATGTCAGAGGCAGGCTTTACTGGCCTAGTGATTAGTTTAGCTTCTTCCTGTCCAGCTCGTTAGAGTTGTTTACTCATTTCTAATCTTGTTTGTTGTTTTGTCTTGGCTGTACTGTTTGTTGCTATAGGAATGATAATGAAGGAATCAGGGAAGTTTTTACACAATGTCTAACGCTTGCATATAAACATGTACAGTTTGTTTTGTTATGATTAATGCAATGAGTCTTTTGTGTTTAAAATGTGCAAACTATAAGTACATGTACATGTAGATACATTAATGAGTCTATAATGAAACCAAAGGAACATAACTATGGTCACTGTGTCCTTTTTATTATTAATAGTACACATACACTGATACTCTTGTGGCATATAATGCTCTTGTTTTAATGGTAAATGTACATGTATGTGTATTTTTAAATCTCTTCTTTAGTTCAATGAGGTTGATAGCTCTAATAAAGATGATGTACAGACGCTGCTTGATAAGATTGCTAGTCTCCAGCAGGAGAATTGGCAGCTGGAAGAAAAACTCAATCACCTTGAGTCAACTAGTTCTTCACTAGCTGAAGATGTCATTCAGAAATCAACCATTATTCAGAATTATTTCATGGAAAACAAAGCAGGTATAAAAGATATGATATCTTTACAGTTTTCCTCTCTCTCTCTCTCTCTCTCCAGATCACAGTGCCACTACTTCATCATCCCAGTCAACTTCTCATGCTAAAATGTCTCCATTGCGATTGATGCAGTGGGCAAAGACACCAGCAAAAGAGGACACCATGGCTGAAGTTAATCGCAAGATGCAGCGTGCACTGGAGGAGGCACTAATGAAGAACATACACTTGCAACAAGTAACAACCTCTAGGTTTAGATTGAAGGGTTTAGCTAAATAATAATAATAATAATAATAATAATAATAGTGTTGTATAATAGTGTATGATAAACATGTTGTTGTTACTATTATTTGATTTGTTTATTATAGAATGTTGATATGTTGTCTACACAATTACAAAAAGAAGAAAAAGATGAAAACACTTAACACTTCAGCTAGTATTATTATTATACTATAAATAATTTTTTTTTTTAATATTATTTTTGTCTTTTTTTCTCCTGCCGACATAAATGTTCTCAATATTAAGTATAATTTTATTATTATTATTATTAAAGTTATTCTGATATCATAAATGTAATCTGAAAGCAACCTGCTATTGCTTCTTTGTCGTCCATAAAGTACCAGTAAGTTTTCACTGGTCTTGAATCAGGCAACTTTTCATTTAGCATGAAGCTGAAGTGAGTCTTCACTGCTACTCCTTCAATCAGTGAACAAGGTTTCCTACTGCATGTCACCAGTCCGTTATCAAAGAGTGGGAATTTTACCCCCAAATCAGTGTGGACGCTGACAGTTAGGTTAGTGTAGTTCTTGTAAGGAGTGAAGACCACAAAGAGAGTGTTGTTAGCATTCTTCTTTGGCCAGCACATGTCTGGTTTGATGGGACTCGGAGAGTTATGGCAGTGCTTCATAAAGACAGAGGTTATTTTTAATCCATCACTCCCGCAGTTACTCCAGGCGAATCCAAGAGAGAAAAGGCAGTAAAGGAATAGACAGATGATCTTTAAAATCATGCTGGAGGAGAAATGCTGCATGCAATGTGCGGCTGCAGTATTTTAATTAACTAAATCTAGTGGGAGTGGCTCGAGTCGCTCGACGTCGACACGTGTGCATATTGTATTTGTACAAGATGGTAGGTTTATTTCTTCCAAAATAATCATTTTTTAATAAAAAAAATTACTTGTTTTTATAATAGTTGAGACGTCAGGCTAGACTAAGAAGAGAATATTTGTATCGCAAAGGATTGGAAGAGAAGCAAAGAGCAATACACGAGAGAAAGGAGAAGCTTAAAAAGGCCATTGATGGTTAATAATTAAACCTTTGTTGTTGTCATAATTATCATAAATTATGTATCCTCTATCATTTTATTGTTATATATTTACTGACAGAGGGGAGACGGATACCAACAGAAATAAGGAAAGAGACTGAGCAGCTAAGACACTCAATACAATTTGATGATGAAGAAAGAGTAAGCACCTTCTCATTCTCCTCCTCTTTCCTTAAGTTGCCCCTCCCTCTCTCCCTTTTATGGTAACAGTTAGGTTTGACAACACATGAAGATGATGAATATGCCTGGGCTGGTGTGGAGGATCCTAATGTTGTCATTACAACTTCACATAATCCGAGCAGTTCTCTTAAACAGTTTGTAAAGGTCTGTGTGTGTGTGTGTGTGTGTGTGTGTGTGTGTGTGTGTGTACATGACGTACAGTCTATGCACTAACCTAATGCTAAAGCTACTTTCCCTTCATCTAAGTACATGTATCAGAAAAAATTATAAAAATTAAAAATTCTCTCCTTTTCATTTTTGGCCAAAGTCCCTGTACTTCAGTAATGCACTATGCCAGAATCCTCTGGTAAAGTCTGCTTATATTTCACAGGAGCTAAGGTTGGTGATCCCAAATTCCCAACGTATCAACAGAGGTCAGTTTGTAATCGGTAAACTGGTAGAGGCTTGTAATGCAAATGGAGCCACAGATCTCATAATAGTTCATGAACACAGAGGGGTCCCTGGTAAGGACTGTCCAGTAATGTATGCTCATATTTTAATGCAATTTCAGTTCAAGTGGAAGTGTAAATGTTCCTAATGTTGCTTCTATAGATTCGCTTATTGTCTGTCACTTGCCATATGGTCCCACTGCTACATTCACTATATTCAATACAGTAATGAGACACGATATTCCTAATATTGGGACAATGTCTGAGGCTTATCCTCACCTCATCTTTCACAACTTCAAAACTAAACTGGGAGAGAGGGTAATGGATCAACTAATTAACTGGTTTTAGTGATAATTTAATGATTATTATAATTATGCAAGTTTCTTCTCCTCTTTTATCAGGTGACTAACATTCTTAAGTATTTGTTTCCAGTTCCAAAGGAGGACAGTAAAAGAGTTATAACATTTGCTAACAGTGAAGACTATATTTCATTCAGGTCAGTAGAAATTATTGAAGTTTTGAAAATGATCTTGCATTTGAGCTCACACTGTAAGTGATTTAGTTAACTTGATATCTTGACAGGCACCATGTGTACAAGAGAGATGGTAAGGAGATTCAGCTGAAAGAAGTTGGTCCAAGATTTGAATTAAAATGTAAGTGACTGGTGAGATACTCATACAATAAAGCTGCATTGTAATTCTATCTTCTGCTGTGTGTATCACTGTTCTAGTGTTTAAGATATCCCTTGGTACAATTGATCAGAAAGACGTTGATGTTGAATGGAAGTTGAGACCTTATCTGAACACAGCTAAGAAGAAACTTGCGTTGAGTCATTCAGAAACATCTTGATTTGACTTATTATAATAATAATGGTTTTAAAATACATTTGTAAAAAAACACACACATATAATATATGCAACATGCATATACACAGATCATGTATTAAGAATAAAGAGAGAGAGAGAAGTTGGGATAAAAAATAACAATAATAATTAACAACACCCGTCACTCTTGGTCTGTCTGTCAAGTGGAGTAGTATTTCCGTAGCAGTTTTGAGTGTGAGAGAGTTCACAATTTTTTATTTCAACTTTCTCGACTCTCTCCTTCAATGCTTGAGCCAGCGAATAAAAAGCATCATCAATGTTAGTCCCATCTTTAGCCGAGACTTCATAATATCCAACTATTTTCCCACTAGTGTGAGTACCCATTAGTGTCTGTACTGATTCTTCAGTCACTTCTCTTAAGTGAGGATTGGCCTTCACTAGATCATACTTTGTACCAATGACCAATACCACTACATTACCTATACAGTATGGAAAATATCATAATAATAAATATGAGAAAGGGATTTAAGGGTATATATATAGAAATTCTTGAGTTCAAAGTAAAATAATAAATAATATGATAAAGCTGTAGCTGTTTAATTTCATTTTTGAATGATAGGATGATAAGCTTCATGACAACTATGGTGTCTCAAGTGAATTAAAATATCATCCATAGTTTCATACAAAGAGAGTATCATAGTTATTTTGGACATAAAATCCATTCACATACGCCTATTATAAATAATAATTTAATTTGTTATTTTGCAGCATGGCCCCGGAATTGTTTCTGCTTGTTATGAGTAGCAGGTTTGTTTATGCATAATTACACATACAACATTTCCTGTCATCAAATGGATGCTTGAGCAGTTTATCCAACTTACCACAGAATTTCTTAATATCATCCAACCATCTTTGGACATTATAGAACGTCCTTTCTCTCGTAATGTCGTACGCTACAATGACCCCGTGAGCATTTCTATAATAACTTTGAGTAATTGTGCGATACCTCTCCTGACCTGCAGTGTCCCATATATGTAGCTAGTGAGCATAATGGATCATTAAGATATGATAACATACTGAGATACAAAAACAATACATAATCTATATCCTCTCTCTCTCTCTCTCTCGCTTTCTTGTTTTCTTTAAATTTTGCTACCAATCAATACTCTTAATCTGTTAATAATAGTCTCAGTCAAAAGATAATTATAAAATATTATACTGTAGGTACTTTTGTTAAAGCACCTCATTGATATTGCATCTTTATAAAAATAACACAAACTGTCTTATAACTACAGGGTGGGTTTTGACAGGAGTAAGAACTACTCTTGTTATAATAATCCTCTCATGAATTATTGAATATTGCACTGTAGAAGTGACAATCTACAATTGACTAATTGCTTGTCATAATAACAAACAATACTCATAGATTAGGGGACATTACCTGTATAACTTTCCCGTCCAGTTTGAACGTCTTATAAGAGAAATCCACTCCAATGGTGTTCACCATTCTCTCAGAATAGGTCCCATATTTGAATCTCTGTAGAGCAGACGTCTTCCCTACGCCCACGTCCCCAATTAGAATGACTTTGAAGAGAAAGTCCGAGTGCGCCTCTTCGTTGGCTGGATAGGATATGACCAAGTTATTTGAGCTAGTTATCCTCGCCATGCAGAAAAATAAGGGCCTATAGCTTAGCTATATAGAGACAGCAGATCTATTTCTAAGCAAAGCTAGCTACTTTGTAGACTAGCCACTCCCCACATTCAGGCTGTAGGCGGAGCAATTTAAATTGATTTGATTGATGGGCGTGGCTATATCAATGTTAATTACTTATTTTATTATTATATCATTAACTGCTTGAGACAGATCGTTAATAAATATATCAATATCAGCTCTTGTTGTTTCTCTTCCTACGCTAACTCTTAACGCATTTAACGCAATATCTTCCGAAACACCTGATTCTAATAAAACAAACGAAGCCCTATAATCGTAAAAAATAATATTGAAAACACAAAATAGATAAAATCAATGAATTACTTAAATGTATCGTGTGAATGGCAAGCAGCTCCAAGACTTATCTGCGATGATTTAAGATGTCTCAGTATAACTGGACCTAACATATTGCAGACAAGAAGAGAGAGAGAGAGGAGGAGAGATAGAGAAAATGCAAAATTTGGTAAAATCAGTTTCCAGAGGCTACCAATCAACTATAATATTTCTTAATCCAAACTTTATTGGAATCAGCTCAAACTTTCTGCACAACACAAGTACATGTATATGTATCAGAAAATATTATAAAAATGGAGATTCTCTCCTTTTCATTTTTGGTGAAATTTGGCCAAAGTCCCTGTACTATAGTACAGGGACTTTTAGCCAATTTTGGAGTAACTTTAAAAATTCATAAAAAAAATCAAATTCCATTGGAATCAGCTCAAACTTTCTACACAACATAAGAACATGTATATGTATCAGAAAATATGATTAAAATGGAGAATTCTCTCCTTTTCATTTTTGGTGAAATTTGCCCAAAGTCCCTGTACTATAGTACAGGGACTTTTAGCCAATTTTGGAGTAACTTTAAAAATTCATAAAAAATTCAAATTCCATTGGAATCAGTCAACAAACTTTCTACACAACATAAGAACATGTATATGTATCAGGTAAAGTTATAAAAAGTAGAATTCTCTCCTTTTCATTTTTGGTGAAATTAGGCTGTACTATAGTACAGGGACATCATTATACAGTAGTTCAGATATTAAAACCCAATACCTTGCAGTAAATGGGAGGCGGTCAATGAGAAATTGCACGTGTTAGGCAAGCAGTCTGAGTCACTTGAATTAAAATGGACTCCATCATCAAATTTCTCCTAATAATAATAATATTAATATTATTATTGTAATGACGGTTATAAATAATACCTTTAGTCTTTTTCTCAAATATTCACAAATACTTCTTAGATGAGACATATGGTGTATTAACCTATCACTTACCAGCTGAGCGGCCTATTTGAAAAAATAATTTAATACTTTATTTTTCTAAATATTATTGGTACCCAGTTGCAAGTATTATGAACTAAAAGTGGATTATAATAATTATAAAATGTTCATGTATGATAACTCACCGTTCCAAGTCCTACTATCATTGGAGTGTTCTCAGTACTGCAATAGATAGAGGAACAAATTGTCAAGTTAGTAGTTTACAAAATAACTTATTGGCGAATTTGCCTGATGAAAGTTAATATTAGTTAATTTTATATTGGAAGAGCTCAGATTGAAACAAAATGGCAGATTTTATATAATGTCAATTGTCAATACTAATTCCTCACCAATAAATCATTTTGTACAGTAACAGCTAATATTAAAATAGTAGCCATACCCTGGTCTGTATCCCCTCTCTTGTCCCCCTCCAGCAAAGAAATGTTTGTAAGGTGTTTCATTGCTAGTCAGTCCTTTAATATAAAGTCCTCCAATCCTCGGGCCGTAAAACTTGTGACCAACAATCGTTAGATAATCAACTTTTAATTCTTGAACATCAACACTAATTTTACCTAATGCCTAGTTATAATAATTAATTATGATTAATTAATTGATTAATTAATTAATTACTTGAGCAGCATCAGTGTGTATTAATATTCTTTCTTGTCCAATTTTATTATTATTAATATTATACAATCTGATGACTTCACCAATTTCCTTCACTGGCTATTATATATATACAATTATATTATTATAATTAATTAATTAACTAATTAAACCTGTATTGCTCCAGTTTCATTATTAGCTAACATGATTGATATTAACCTTGTATTGGATTTCACTGAATTCATTACATCAGATACACTGATGTACCCATTTACCGGCTTTACACATGTTAGTTCTAAAAATAGGAACAACAACTAATAAAACAAGAAGTATTTCAGGAGACCTAGACCAAATGTGACTCCCTCTAGATCTAACAGCAATCATAATAATAGACTAATATTATACCTATTGATCCATTATCTTTTAAATGATTCAGTGGCTTGATTACAGAATCGTGTTCGATTGTACTTGTAATAACATGAGGGACTTCCCCTTCTCTTAAAATACAATTAAATACAATATTATTGCTCTAAATGAAATAAAATAAACAAATTAATAAATAAATAAATAAACGTCTTACTTCAGTACCGCCAGATGTAAATACAATATCTAAAAATGAAATTAAAAATATAATACTCCTCATTAATGATATGATACTTTCACTTGCTCCTCCTATCAACTTTGCAACTTGCCCTCTTGCTTTCTCTATTGCAGCTTTAGATTCCTTCCCTAACAAAAAAGTAAAAACAAAAATGCAAAATAGAATGAATAAATAAATAATGTGTAAAACATACCAACTGTATAATTGGAGCTGGGGTTGGCCCAGTGATCTCTCATAGATCCTGTAATGGCGTCAATGACCTGGGGAGCTAAAGGAGTAGTTGCGTTGTAGTCCAGATACACCGCCATTTTATTAATATTCAGTGGGCGTGGTTAAGAAATATATTTCCTGTTCATTCCTTATAAGGCAATCGTGTGGGCCGACCAAATGATAGCAATGGTGCGAGTCACCAATATCAATGACCTGATGGTACGGTGAAGCAGTCACTGCATTGGGCTTAGCTACTACTAGCTCTAGTGATGGATCTGTTGAAATCACTGGCTCACCCAACAGAGATATACGCTTTACTGCAGTACAAGCTTGTAGGACAGAATGTAGTTCATTCCCTGGACACTGTAAGTCACAACTCCACACCAAACAGAATAAATTGCTCATTTGTAGTCATCTCTATCACCCGACATGCAGAGATGTTATGAGCTTCTAAATCAAACCAGCAGGAGCTTTGCTGCAGTTATACAAGCACTTGATGGAGACTTGAGGTATGCCCAGAATACTGTTACAACATGCAGCCCGTGAGTGATGTATTTTATATCTCACAGCCAATTAAAAGTTACTATTAAATAGATATAATGTGAAGCAAATTGATATAGAACATGTACATGTTACTGATGAAAATATAAATAAGAATTATGGAGTTTGCGGCACATGAAACATTCATTCACTGAGGCATGTAATATTGTAATATGTTAAGAATGATAACTAAAACTCAGTGTCTATAACAACAAACATTATTTACTTTTTTACTGAAGGTGTATGTACACATGTATAGCCTGTACAATAAACAGATTCACTCCTTATAGGCCAGCTGTTTGTATCTTCTATCTTGTACTTCGTGCCCTTGATACTATAGAAGATGACATGACTATACCACCCGACACAAAGATCGTCCTCTTGAAGGCATTCCACACTTACCTCTATGATCCAAAGTGGAACTTTACACAAAGCCAAGAAAAAGACAAAGCTGTACTAGAAGAATTCCCCAAAGTAAGGAAGGATGTAACTATAAACTACTCTAATAATAATTACAAACAATTAGCTATGATTTATTGTTTATTTTTGTTCTGTAAAGATATCTGGAGAGTTCCGTAAGCTAAGGTCACGCTATCAAGAAGTGATCAGCGAAATAGCACAGAAAATGGGAGCAGGAATGACAGTCTTTCTCACTAACAAAGTGAACACAATGGAGGAATGGGATGAAGTAAGCTACCTAATGCTAATATCCTGTATTTATTATCATGTCTTGATGCAGTATTGTCATTATGTTGCTGGTCTTGTTGGCATTGGTTTGACTCAGTTATTTGCAGCTTCAGGTCTAGAGGATCCAAGTATAGAGGGAAATACAAGACTGGCCAACAGCATGGGACTCTTCCTACAGAAAACAAACATCATTCGAGATTACCTTGAAGACATTGTACAAGACAGAGAGTTCTGGCCTAAAGAAGTATGTCATGCAGAAACTAATTAATATTCAGTTTTTGATACTATTATGAAATTAGGCTTGGAGTCAATTTGCTAATGACTTGAGAGATTTTCAAAAGCCATCAAAAAGACGTGACGCCATTAGATGCTTAAACTTCCTAATCACTTCAACCCTTAAGCTACTCCCTGATGTCCTCCAATACATGAGCTACATAAAGAATCAGAGCATATTCAACTTTTGTGCTATACCTCAGGTAAGCCTCCATCCCATTGTAGCTACAGGCTAGCATTACTGTTGTTTTAAAGATGATGGCTATTGCTACTCTGGCTCTGTGCTATAATAATGGAAAGGTTTTCGAGGACATGATTAAGATAAGAAAAGGTCAAGCAGTTCAGCTAATAATGCAGTCAAACTCAAGCAATAGTCTACAGAAAATAATAGCCTACTACTCTAAAGAGGTATAGTACCATGATCAATGAGGAGTGTGTGGAGTAGAATAATGAGCAGCAAGAGCATATGGCAGAATAATGATCATAATAATTGTAACAATAATAGTATTGACATACTTTTGAAGACAAGAGAGACCCAAAATAATTGCAAACTGTAAAAATAATAATCTATTTAAACAATTATAATACTTTTTAATGGACATACATATACCTTTATAGATCTTTAACAAGATTGATTCTACCGATCCATCAGGAGAAGAGACCAGAAGCATCCTAACTCATATTCTATTAGTGTGCAATGAGGATCCACTGGATACCAATAGATCCACTGCAGTTGGAATAGCTCTCTCTCAATACAAAGCACCAATCATCAGCACAACTGCTCTGATCGTACTCTCTTACATTTACTGGTACACTCAGTAAATGACATTTAGCTCCTTCTATACATTAGGTCGGTCTGTGTATATTCGACCGATTGTGCTTGTCTTTTTTAAAATAATAAATTTTTATACCTTATTTTCAAAAATTCAGTTTTAATAACAATTAAGCGACACAGCTTGTTTGTGTATGCATGCAAATGTGCACGTGTGCATAAAAACATTATAAAGTTATAGGATAATTATTATTCACGTTATTGAGAGGATTCAACAGGAAGAGTTCGACCCATTCTCTCCTTCCAGACCATCCCCAGGAGCGTAACAAACATCTCAGCATGAACTGAAGTGTAGGGAACAATACAAATGTGAGTAGCAATCCCACAGTCGCTGTGAGCCCGAGTGAAGATGAGGAGCTGCGTAATGCAATACTGGGAATCATAGGCAACTTGGACACGCTGTATATCATCAATATGTATCCATCTTTTGACGACAAGCTGAGTTGGAGAGAGGACGAGGAGAGTTGGAGTGACGTCAGCATTGAGGGAACTGGCACAAAGAAAGAGACCAAAGTTAGTTAGCAAGATCATGTGAGGACGATAGAGAACGGTCTGTACTTCACGAAGACGAACCTGCTCTGCTAACAGCATTATATTAGGCAGAAGTATTTGGATATTCTCAGAGCAGGTTTTAACTGAAGACCCTCTCGCTACATCAGGATGAGACTCAACCAGATGAAGCTTGAGCTCATTAAGAGATGTATCACTAGGCAGTACCAGCTCTGTCGCTAGTCTCTTAGCAAACTGCTTGATTGGAGATACTGGACCTGCTGGAGTGTGCTCTCCAAAAGGATCATCAGTAATGTCAACAAAATCCTCCAACAAATGCTCCACATCTTTCTCCTGGACCTTCTCCTTGAAACCAACAGTAGCTGCTAGTGCAGAGAGGACCAGGCTAGTAACCTGTGCTGTGTTAGTGAGTACATCAATGTGACTAGCAGATTTACTGTCATAAAGACGAATGGAGAGAAGGAGGGGGCCCAGTACAACTTTCATGAGATCTGAGAGCCACAACCGATAGAAGCATTGGAGGTGAGTATCATTATGAGAACTGAGGAGGGACATACGAGCAAATGAAGATATGCCTCCAGCATCAAGCCATGTCCTTATCCCATCCATATCAGAGAGGAAATACATCGCATAATTACTGACTATGACAAACACTTCAACATCTAATCTCCTCTCAAGGTGAGGCTGGGAATGAGCTAAGAATGAAGCAAGAATAGTCTCATCTGACTTCATGAAGTCAGCCTGGGCTATGTGCTCCTTGAATATATCCAGTTTGGCCCAGTGGGGAAGATTAGCAAATCTTAATAATGGTAAGTGCTTAAAGAACAAAGGGGCTGAGACTTTGCCCTTTGCTTTAGTCTGCATTTGAGTAGCAATGAAAGGGAGGGGGCTGTGTGGATTGGGGAATGACTCAAGTGGCGTCTTAACACTAACAATACTCAACTCTTTATTGCAGACACTGTTCCAATGCAACTTCAAACTACCCAAGAAGCTATTCAAGTGATGGAGATCATAGGCAGCTAGAGAGAGACACGAGTCAGAGAAAGAGATGGTGAGGTGATGAAGGAGAACGTCAGGAACAGAAGATGAAGCAGTGATTGGTCTCAACTTGTCACAGATAGCCACTTCCTTGATATCCTCCAGTGCAATGTACTGGACTATATTGAGAGGAGAGAAGGTATGCTTTGCTTGAGTCATTCTCAGAGCAGGGCCACTGATGAAAGCCTCTTCACAAAGGATAAGATGAGAATTGATTAAAACTAGTATCAGTGGGTGCAAGAAACTGCCCCCATTGCATCCAGGTAGGATATCACTGGAAACATAGCTCACAGCTAACTGATGGACGATACTAATAGACTCTGAGAGGTCACGGACACCTTGCTTGACCTCCATCTCGTACATACCCAGCAGGCTCTTGTTCTTGTTGGTTGCTATGAAGTTCCCTAGACGTACCTGTGTCTTGGAGACTGAGAGCCACTGCTTGAATCTCTTGACACTGAAATCATCAGGTTTAACAAACAATACTCCACTCAACCCGGAAGCTGTCTTTGCTTCATGTGTACCCATCACAGTGTAATGGAGAGAGGCAGCATCAAGTGCTGCCTTGAGCTGCTCAAAGAGCTGAGTGGAGATGTCAGGAGTTGGAGGGAATACGACGAAACTCCAGACCGGAGACCTGCTGTGGAGCTCAATATAGAGAGCTTGATTTAAAGTACTAGTCATGACAACCCGAGACAAGTGATCCAACTGATCGGATATGAGGACTACTAGAGGTAGAGACTCGCTCTCCCAGTAGCCATTCTCTTCTCCTTGCTCCCTCACCTCCAGCACATACAGAGATTGATTAGATATGAAGACGGCTCCCTGTAATGAGTAAGGGAATGAGCTAGGGAGAGATATTCCACACCACAAGACGTACATTAACATCTCTCCCTTCTCCTTTGCTATCTGATTTGTAAAGTACTGCAGTAACATGTCGTCATCAAGTTGAGGTCTTTCTGGTGATTGTGGAGGTTGGGAAGACTTTCTTACAAAATATTCTAAACTATCGACAGGAATGGTCGGGGATTGAGCGAGAGAGAGTGGATCAGTGATTCCGCCTTCTAACGATTTGTAAGAATCTTCATCGTCATCTTCTTCTTCGTGATGACTTCTTTCCTCTGATTGTGGTGGATCAGTTGTAGTGAGGAGTTTGTTATCGTCAGTTTCCTCTAGTATACCAGCTGTCTGTAACTGCCTGCTCCTCTCATTGTCAGGCTCTTCATCTGAAGCCGCTGACAGCTGCTTCGATAAAAACGCAGGAGAAGGAGGAGCAGGAACCTCTGATGACCTGAAGAGAGAGAGGGATTAGAATACAAAAAGTAAAAGAATGAATACAACAAAGAGCTACTAAACACTTTCAATAGAACATGGCTTATGTTAGAAGTTGCTTACTGGAGTCTTTTCTGCAGCAGCACATAAAGATCAGCAATTGATGGATAGTCCCTCAAGCAGTATACGACCCAGGTAGTGTGACTCATCATGGAGGAGAGCTCAATGGCAATTGCTAGTGACTTTTGACCTTCATGACAGCGAACCTCCTTCAAGAATGCTAGAAAAAAGCATTAATAAAATTAATTATTATTAATAGATGTACATGCATTAGCTCTTACTAAGGTCTCTTGTCCTTCGGTTTCCTCCAGTACCTGAAGCAACTGCAAAGTCCTCAATGATACGACCGACTTTAACGTCGACTTCAAGGAGACACGAATCACAAGAACTATCAGCGAGGAGTCTCTCAATGCCGTGATGACTCAACTGCTTAAAGTCTCTACTGTACTGTAGGACAGTAGCAGTACAGGACCAGGGAGAACTGTGTGTGTTCAGGTGTAAGAGAAGAGAGAGAGAGAGAGGGAGGGAGGGAATAAAAAAGGTTTGTTGTCTTACTTGCAATCTCTTCCTTCAAGCAGTTGCTGTAGCTTAACTGACGGTAGACCAGAAGAAGGTGTCTCTGACGATAACTGATCACTACCTCCACTACTGTATGAAAGGAATAGACACATAAACATTCAAATTAATGATTGAATTCATTAAAAATGATGATGATGATGATTACCTTTCAAAATCATCTTTTCTTGGCTTCCTCTTCTTCTTCACTTTACCAGGACTGTTCTATAAATACACGTAATAATAATTACATCATCATTATTGTTACTATTTTTATCACTTAATACGTAAAGGTACTTACAATTGGCCTTTCATTCAGCATCTTTAGCCAGTTCTCCCCTCCCTCCCTCCTCATCTTTTCAATGCTCAGTCTCGTACCAGCTGAGAGAGACGGAATACCTGGAGACCTGTCATTAGAAGCTTCTCCGATATCAGGATTAATATCAGCATTACGAATACTTGACTGTTGAAAGAAACGGTAATGAATTATAGTGTATGGACTGGGACAGTATCGATGTCCTTATGCTGTGTAGAAAGTTTGAGTCAATTCCGACTTCAATTTTTAAAGTTACGGCCATTTAAAAAAATGCCAAAATTCTGAAAAATACCCAAGGTTATAGCCCATGGTTTTTTTCAAAAAATGGCTCAAAAATCACCCCAAATTTTTATTACATTTTCTGATACATATTGATGTACTTATGCTGTGTAGAAAGTTTGAGTCAATTCCGACTTTAATTTTTCGAGTTACGGCCATTTTAAGAAAATGCTAAAATTTCGAAAAATACCCAAGGCTATAGCCCATGGTTTTTTCCAAAAAATGGCTCCAAAATCACCCCAAATTTTTATTACATTTTCTGATACATATTGATGTCCTTATGCTGTGTAGAAAGTTTGAGCTGATTCCGACTTCAATTTTTCGAGTTACGGCCATTTTAAGAAAATGCCAAAAATCTGAAAAATACCCAAGGCTATAGTCCATGGTTTTTTTCAAAAAATGGCTCCAAAATCACCCCAAAATTTTACTACATTTTCTGATACATATTGATGTCCTTATGCTGCGTAGAAACTTTGAGCCGATTCCGATAAGAAATTTCAAGTTATAAATATAAATGAAACCCAGATCAATTCACTGATGGCTAACCTTCTTTTGCTTTTTGGAGTGTTTCTTAATTTCTCCGACAGAAAGTGAAGCTGATATTTCTAACTCATCTCTACTTGGAGGTCTACCATCTAAATACACCTACCAAGGCAGTAATAGGTAACATATGCTGTACATGTATTACATTAAATACTGCTAACCTGTGGAGCTGTGCTGGGTAATAAGCTGAAGACCTGTTGTCTATAAGAAGGAGAGGAAGTGAAGGCATTCCCTTTGACCATGAGCTGCTCTAGCACAGGGAGTGAGGCCAGTCTACTCATCTCACCAACCTGGAGGGACAGGAATAGGAGGACAACAACAAATGAAAGAGTTTCAATAATAAATTGTATTGATTATAATAATAATTATCATTATTGGTGTTTTTTTTACTTTAGAAATGAGATTGTACTGTATATCAAGACACACGACAGAATAACACTTTTCAACTCCTGAAATAAAACCCGCAATTAAAAATGAGAGAGAAAAAGAGGAGGGAGGGAGAGAGAGAAGGGGTAGAGAGGGAGGGGGGAGGGAGAGAGAGAGAGGGTAGAGAGAGAGGGGGGAGGGAGAGAGAGAGAGGGTAGAGAGAGAGAGAGGGAGAGAGGGAGGGATCGAGGGGTGTTCCACTGACCTGAGAGAGAACTCAGTTTATTGTGTGCCAGGCAGAGTGTCGTTATGTTGCCAAGACGATAATGAAGGTCGGAGACGTTCAATAGCTCATTGTGGGACAAATCAAGAATCCTTAGGTGTGGCAAATCCTGGAAATAAAGATTATGATCACACTGTACACTGTATATAACTATCATACTAAGAGGTTGTCGATGTCTCGTATTAAATTGTTGCTTATGTTCAGCTCCTCAAGGTTTGGACATAAAGTCTACAAAAGAAAAGAAGTTTATCCCAAGACATTATGATAGTGTATACTGTTGTAACTTCACTCTCCTCCCCCCCCTCTCTCTCTCTCTCTCCTTCCCCCCTCTCTCTCTCACCAAGCTGGTGTCAATGCTAGTGATATTATTATAGCTTAGGTCCATCACTCTGAGTTTATTCCATTGAATGAATCCTCCATCAGATGAAGCTGCTTCATCAACACCAAGACAATTGTGCTTCAGAATATCCTAAAAACAAACAAACAAACAAACAAACAAATAAATAAATAAATAAATAACAACAACAATAATGATAGTGACAGTAGTACAGATATGCTTACCCTTAAAGAGGTGATGGAGCGGTGAACTCCCAGTGTGAGCAGCTGCTCTGGAATGTTACCGAGTCCTTGAATCTGATGGAGCTGTATACTACTGAGCTGATGGTGTTAGAAAAATAGAGATAAATAGAATAAAAGATAAAATGATAAAATGAAAAAAATATAAACACATCATTATACAGTATAAAACTAGCACATGGCTGATTATTATCGCAAATGAATTGGAAATGGTTATAGATGTGGATACACTTACCACTAGAGTGTCAAGGGACTTCATTACTGAGAGGTCAAAGACAAGCTCAACTGCTGGAGACAATGGAAACAACTCTTTACTGGGAGGACATATCTGAGAGAGAGAGGGAGAGGGAGGGAGGGAGGGAGAGAGAGTTAGTTAAAAATAATAGTAAAATGTCCTCACGTACTTTAACTTTGTTCAAGTGTTGCAAAAACTCCAATAAATGCCCAAACTCATATCTCATGTCTCTCTGCTCCGATACTACACAAAACACAATAAATTAATAAATAATAATTATCATAAATATACGTACATATGAAATTATATTACAACAAATACACAAATAAACTAACCAATGGGTAATATCATCCTCTTACAGACACAGTGGAGCTGGAGAGGACTGAATGCCACCATACTGTTAGTAGAGAGGAACTCATCACCTGTATATGATGTATAGTATCCACTAAATGTAGTTCATGTACACTGGCTGTATGGTGTTACCTTTTTCAAAGAACAATGCTGAAAGAGTTTCAGTAATACTCAAAACATCCTAAAACAACAACAACAACAACAACAATAATAATAATAATAATAATAATGATAATGATAATAATTTGTGATGCTAATTATCATAAAAATGTTAAAAATTGAAAGTAGGTTCGTATTAAAAATAAGCACAACAGCATTCAATGAGTGTCAAATAACTGCAATCATCACAATATACACTAACAGTGAAACTTCACTCTTTCATAATGGATACCACCATACACTGCAAGGAATGGGGTATTGTACTGTAGATGTACTCACAGCAGTTTCAAAGAACATTAGAAACTAAAGTACTTATGTTATAGGTATTGAGCTTACAATATTGATATTAACATTAGTAATGTACTTACACTGAACTTGTAATCAAGGAACCGTAAGAGGATTACAGGAGGTAGAGAGAACTGAAGCAGGAGTTTCCCCAGGTAAACACTCAGACGACTCTGTATTTCAACAATCTGCTCTTTCTTGTGACTACCAAACATCTTACGTTGGGGGAACAAACTTTTGTCTATGGCAAACTCTTCAACAAGCTGAGAGAAGAGAGAGAGAGAGAGAGAGAGAGAGAGTGAGAGAGTGAGAGAGTGAGAGAGAGAGAGAGAGAGAGAGAGAGAGAGAGAGA